GGCTCTTTAGTCCCTCTTTACTTTCTGCCCTAAGGGTGGTGTCATCTGCATATCTGAGGTTGTTGATATTTCTCCCAGCAATCTTGATTCCAACTTGTGCTTCATCCAGCCTATCATTTCACATGATGTACTCTGAATATAAGTTAAACAAGCAGAGTGACAATATCCATGATTTTCCTCAATTTTTTTTCCCATAGCATATTAACCAAGATTTACTTTTTATAAACTGTTTCCTCTATTTAGATTTATATCTATTGAGGGAATTCATCTTCATTTTTCTTCCAGAAGATCCAGTCAATTGCTCCCCAAATTAATAAATGAAACATTCTCTCCCCATTGAGTTGAAATATCTTTTTACCAGATACACGTATGTGTAAATGCTCTATTTTGATCCACTGGTCTAATTTGTCTTGCAAGGCCTGCATATAGTGTTAACATGGCTTTCTAATTTTTCATATCTGATATGGCAAATCTTCCCATGTTAATCTTCATTTCAACAATTTCTCATCTAGCCTCATAAATTTATATTTTCAGATGAAACTTTGATTGATTTGATCACACTCCTCCCCCCAATTCCACTATTATTCTTATAGGAATTACACTCTAAATGAATTTGGATGACATACCAATTGGTTTAAATGTCTCACTCTTGATTAGATCCAGATCTTTGGAGTAAAATATGGTGACTTGTTCTCCCAGTGGCTGGGCAGGATGCCCAGCTTTACTATAAGAAGCTGGAGTGAATCAGAACACCTCCACACAACTATTATATACAGGATGGATAAACAAGGGCCTACTATAGAGCACAAGGAACTATATTCAATATCCTGTGATAAACATAATGGAAAAAATATGAAAAAGAACATATATGTATAACTGAGTCACTTTGTGTACAACAGAAATTAACACAACACTGTAAATCGACTACACTTCACCAAATTTTTTTTTTAAAAAAAGAACACCCGCACTCAATGTCCAGCACAGGGTGGAGTGATTATTTTCCTCTCTGTTCATTCTGGCGGCAGAGAGGACTTCTTGGGGCCTTAGCTGATACCTGTCAGTTTCACCCTCAAGAAATTAATAAAAACTTAAGGAAGTAACGGGGTCTCTTCCAGGTGTTGCAGATCCCAGTTTACATAATGAGTTACATAATGTCTTTGCTTTGTATTGGGTTGGCCAAAATGTGAGTTCAGACTTTTTGGCCAATCCAATATTTTTTTACCTGCTTGATGAAAATGTCAGAGGAGCTTATACCTCACTGCCAAGCTCTCCTGTTCATCAACACATGTTCCTAGTATAATGACATTACCTTCGCAGGTGCCCAAGCCAACCCTGGTGCCTCACACAGTTTACCTGGCAAGGGCCATTACATGTACCCTAATGATGCCAGGCACTGTGCGTGCGTGTGTGTATGTGTGTGTGTGTGTGTGTGTGTGTGTGTGTGAGATGTTCAGTGTGTGTGTGTGTGCGTGTGTGTGTGTGCGTGTGTGTGTGAGATGTTCACTGTGTGTGTGTGTGTGTGTGTGTGTGTGTGTGAGAGATGTTCAGTGTGTGTGTGTGTGCGTGTGTGTGTGTGTGCGTGTGTGTGTGAGATGTTCACTGTGTGTGTGTGTGTGTGTGTGTGTGTGTGAGATGTTCAGTCGTGTCTGACTCTGCACTGTGCTTGCACCCTGTAAATCTTGGTTCCCGTCCAACCCACAGTCAAACAAGCTTAACCTTGATGTCAGATCTTCAGCTGCATATTTTAGAAACCTCTCCTCTATCTTTAGTTAAGCCTTTTCTTTAAGATCCAGCTGAACTCTTACCTCTTCCAAGAGGCCTGCCATCCATCCAGTCCATTCAGCTCCCCTGCACGTTGTCAGTACCCCTTGCATCTATGATCTATATGTTCAGTTATAACCTCACAAATTCAGTCACAACTGATATACATTGTTTGGCTTTCTTCCCCTTGTTTAATATCACAATGTGGGGGGACGGATTGTGGGTGATGGGCAGTCTGAATCTCCAGGCTGCCACAGACTCCACTACACCTTAGAATCTTCCATAGGCCTGAATCACACACTTGCAGCACTGGTGTGACTCTCATGGAAATTGAGCTTGAGACTATGATACACAATTAATACAGAACAACAGTATTGTCTGCATGTTTCATAATATTGATGAGACTTATTGAACACTTACAGAATGCCAGGCACTATGCTTAGTACTTTGCCTGCCTCAATCCATTCACTTTACACCCTATAAAGCAGGTATTGTTATTATTCTCATTTTACAGCAAGGAGACTGAAGTCCAGGGAGGTAAGTAGCATGCCCAGTGTCACATACAATCAGTGGGGGAACAGGGATTCAAAGTCAGGCTTCTGGTGTAAAAGCTAATTTTCCCCACAACACTAATCTTCCCCAAAAGCTAATTTTCCCCACAAATTTTCCCCCTAAAAGCTAGTTTTCCCCACTAATTTTCCCCCGCTAATTTCTACCACAAATTTTCCCCACAACACTAATTTTTCCCACAAATTTTCCCCAGTAATTATCTCCAAAAGCGAATTTTCCCAACAAATTTTCCCCATTAATTTTCCCCAAAAGCTAATTTTCCCCACAACAACAGGGCCATCACTGACACATGCCTCATCTCTCCACTTCATAATGACCTTCATGAACATGGTCCACAGGCAGAGATCACCTGGCCCAGGGACCAGTGGGGCTGAAATCCAACCCACTGCTCCACCACCTAGCCTTGCACCCATGGATCTTGAACAGGCATCTGGAACAGGACTCCCAGAGGACAGAAGTCTCAGGCCTGTGTGTGAACGCCCTCCTCCACAGCTGGTATTAGAACAGGATTTGAACCTGGGAGCTTTGGCTCCAGAGCCCTGCTGTCTGCAGACTGGGGGGCCCCCTCTTCCTGATTTTCCTGAAGGCAATGTGTGAGCCAGATGCAGCCCTGAAGATCTGGATATGGTGCGTCTCCATCCTCATGAGAGGGTCTGGGCCATGGAGGTGAAGTGAAAGTTGCTCAGTTGTGTCTGACTCTTTGCGACCCCATGGGCTATACAGTCCATGGAATTCTCTAAGCCAGAATACTGGAGTGGGTAGCCTTTTCCTTCTCCAGGGGATCTTCCCAACCCAGGGACCGAACTGGGGTCTTCTGCATTGCAGGTGGATTCTTTACCAGCTGAGCCACAAGGGAAGCCCAAGAATACTGAAGTGGGTAGCCTATCCCTTCTCCAGTGGGTCTTCCCAACCCAGAAATTGAACTGGGATCTCCTGCATTGCAGGCAGATTCTTTACCAACTGAGCTATCAGGCCATGGAGGAAGGGTTCATAAATATTGATTAAATGAAAGTTCTCTAACCTTTATTGCAATCATGCAGCCATCAGCTACCTCCTCCGCTGAGGGGCAATCACAGGCATTGATGACAATCAGCCCAATCAGGGTTCTTTACCTGTTGAGGGCCATTCACAACGTAGGGCACAGTGGGGGACGCACGGACCAGCCAGGAGAACTGTCTGCACCTGTGTGCCTGCCTCGGGTTTTGTTCCTGCCTCTTCTGCAGGAATTCAGCTTGCTAGGAGGCAGTGTGGTCCACTGCCCAACAGCAGGGTTCCGGAGCCGAAGGGCCTGAGCTCAAGTCCCGTTCTAACACCAGCTGTGCAGAAAGGCACTCACGCAGCAGGCCTGAGGCTTCCGGCCTCTGGGAGGCCTGCTCCAGATGCTGGGCCATGGCTGGTGTCTGGGAACTCGGATTTCAGAGGGTTCCCACCATCCCCTGATAAGTGGGGTTCATGGGGCCTAAACTGCTGTGCATTCAGTGTGGTTTACACTCGACACACACTGTCCTGCCGGCAGGTGCCAGGCACTGGGCCTCTAATGACTCCCCGGATGGACAGCAGTTCACATGCGATGTCACAACTCCATGCTGGAGGAGCTCAGCGTGCCCCGAGTGTCTCCAGTGGGAGAGAACCCGGCAAGCCTGTACCTGGGGTCTCCAGAGCCCGTCCCGCGTGTCTGTTCCCTGTGCTCACTCTTCTCTGCATCCCTTCTCTATCACACATCAGCCTGGGTACGACAATGTGGGCAGTGCTTTGGGTCCTCCTAGGGAAACTCTGCACCTGGGGGTGATCTCGGGAGCCCTGACACACGGTCATGTGACCTTGGGCAAATGCCTTGACCTGGGCATGCCACAGTTTCCTCATCTAAGAAATGGATGTTCAGTCTATCCCCCAAGATTGTAGTGAAGATGTCACGATTCAGCAAATGTAAAATCCTTGGCCTGGCAATTACTGGGAGGCTTCTCAGGTGACGCAAGTGGTAAAGAATCCACTTGTCAATGCAGGAGGCACAAGAGACATGAGTTGGGTCCCTGGGTCTTGAAGATACCCAGAGGAGGGCACAGCAACCACGCCAGTACTCTTGCCTGGAGAAGCCCATGGACAGAGGAGCCTGGTGGGCTAGTGGTCCATAGGGTCACAAAGAGTCGGGCATGACTGAAACAACTTAGTATGCATGAACTGGGGATTTAAGAAACGTGGACTGTGTTTATATGATGGATAAACACGTGATGAACATGTGAATGAACGGATGCATGAGCTGCGGGTGAGTGAATGATGAAGAAAAAGGGAGAAGTGTTCATGGTAGACCACAGAAGCAGGTCTCTAGGCCCTGGGAAGCTCTGGGAAGATAAAACATGGACCACTCACTGGCCATGGGAAAACATTGAAGGGCAAGTACAGCCTGCTGAACAGATGGGTGGGCGGGGCCTCAAGCTGGTCCCAGGCAGCGACCAATCCATCTGGCCCAGATGAAGGGGTATTCAGAAAACCAGCCAGACAGCCCCCAGGCCACACTGGGGAACCCTGCAGCCTCGCCTGGGGTCTAGGAGGCTAAGGCCAGCGGGGTCCCCTCCCCTGGCCTCTGAGGACAGCAAGAGACCACAGACCATAGACAGAAAGAGACGCTCTGGGGCATAATGTGGGTGTCCAGCTCGAAGGTTTTCTCTTACCATGATCTTTTCTTCTGCTGTTATGGAGAAGGGGGCTTTTAGCTGGGTTCTGTTCTAGAAAAAAGCACAAAGAAAGCAGTTCAGTTAACTGGTTTTGGCATCTGAGACACGGGGTAACATGTGGTCTGTTTCTGACCCGCCCACCTGGAGCTACAGTGGGTTCTTGACCGTCGGGGGCAGGGGAGTGGTCAGAGCTGGTGGTGGTCTTAAAGTCACTTCGGGCGAAAGGTCTGTGGAACTGTGATGCCTCCTCTTCCCGAGGTGTGTGTGAAATCCAGACACCAGTTTCCCTAACGGCCAGGGAAACACAGGCATCATACCCGGGTGGTGAAACACTTGGAGGCGGGTGAGGTCAGGGGAAAGGAATGACCCTCTCCCTCCAGGATCTGGTCTGCCCCCTGCAGGAACGAGGAGAGAGCTGCAGGCTCTGACATCACTACTGAGGTCCCCTCTCATTCCAGTGCTTTCCACCCCCCAAGCCCCAACTGTCTAAACATCCACTCCCATACTTTCTAATACTCCTCTGGCTAGAAGACATAGGGAATGAAAGGTGAGCATTATGACTGCTATCTGTCCAACCTCGTGGTATCTCAGGAGACCCAGTATGAGACCATGCTTCTTTCTGGGGCTGGAAGCAGCAGCATATCTTGCAACTGAAAGGCCGTGCAGTGGAGCGGAAGGAAGCAGATTATGCAGGTTCATGTGGGGCTTCATCATTCTCCAGCACTCTGGCTTTGGATAAGGTACCGGCCTTTCTGTGCCTCGGTTTCCTCATCTGTACAATGGGAATTTTATTCATCTCGTAGGCTGGCTGTGAGGATGAATCAGAAGAGTGCCTCACCCATAAGGAGGAGTGCTGTGAGTGTATGAATGTTGTTGGGTGTAGCGGGTGGTGATGGTGGTGGCTGTATCATCATAGATAACCTGGTCTGGAGACTTGGAGCCAGAATCCAGTGAGCTAGGCAACCCCTGTTTAATTCTATAATGGCCACTCTAAGGGCATTTTTCCCTGACCTGAGTGATGGTCCACCCAAGGCAGGAAACCCCCTGATCCATGTCCTACAGCTGTTATGGCAGCTATACTGGGAGCACTGGGGCATCCCAAACCCATCACAGGCCAGCTGGACAAGCTGATGGAGGGAAATCAAAATGCTACAAGTTTTTTTTTTTTTTTTTTTAAGCTTTCTTTTTAAGGAAGGAAATGGACGTGAGAGATGGACCATAAAGAAGGCTGAGTGCCCAAGAATTGATGCCTTCAAATGGTGGTGCCAGAGAAGATTTTTGAGAGTTCCTTGGACTGCAAGGGGATCAAACCAGTCAATCCTAAAGGAAATCAACCCTGAATATTCTTTGGAAGGATTAATGCTGAAGCTCTAAGACTTTGGCCATCTGATGCAAAGAGCTGACTCACTGGAAAAGACCCTGATGCTGGGAAAGATGGAAGGCAAATGGAGAAACAGGCATGAGATGGTTAGACAGCATTACCAACTCAATGGACATGAATCTGAGCAAACTCCAGAAGTGAAGGACAGGGAGGCCTGGCATGCTGCAGTCCATGGGGTTGTAAAGATTCGGACACAAACTTAGCAACTGAACAACAATGGAAATTAAAACACACACACACACACACACACATCTCTAAAGAAGAGACACCTATGAAGCAATCACTTGGCCCTTCCTGTTTCTGAATCGTACGTGCTTTGGAGTGTTTGCAGTGCCCTATGAGTTTCAGGGTCTTCTGAACTAGTGGGTTTGAAGGCTGGCTTCCTCTCTCTTTTCTCTCCCTCTGGGTCCCTCCTTGCTGTTTCTTGACACCAAGGTCTAAACAGAGAGGGGCTAAAAGTGTGCTACACAGCCTGTCTCCATCTCTGCAAAAATAGAAACCATCAGCCTACATCCACTATATAAACTTCATAACTTCATAACATAAACTTCATGCTTAAGAAACATGTTTAGAGCACAGCCTGAGGCCAGGAAAGAAGGACCACATGAGGGCCAGGGATGGTTTTCCAAGGTGGGCAGGATGTTTATACAATATACGGTAAGAAACTGGAGATAGATGTTCTAGATTTTTCCCTCTTGACCTCCCTTGCGTCTCTGTCCTGTCTCATGTACCCTTGTATGAATTTGAGGTGCATGTATCTATAACTATGTGCACATGTGTATACATGTATGTATGCCTATGTTTGAGTTTAAGAAAGTAGTATCCAGACTCAAACACAGTGCATTTCTGACAGTACCTCCCTCCCGTGGTGAGGATTAGAAAGTGGTAACTATTTTTATTGCTCTCATACCATTTTAAAATGTCATAACTGGAAGAGATGAGTTTGAAGGGAATCTTTTGACACCACCCCCCCATTTTTCAAGTGGGAAAACTTGAACTCAGAAACACTGAACTGTTCTAAAAACACAGAGAGGGCAGCATTTCAGCCTCTGAAGTATCAGATACCAAGCCCATGGCAACGTGAAGGATTTCACCCCATTAGGCACCTGCGTTTTAAAATAATTCCTTTATTCTCCCATCTGTAGTGTGAGCCTCTTTACAGCCGACAAGCAGAGCAGACCCATGTTCTTATGTGGAGTTGACAAGATTTTCCCTCACACTTGGATCATTTTCAATTCCAAATACACTAGACCTTCTCTCCATCCTAGAGGAAGGCCCAGGAGTCACCCAAAGAAACTCTGAAGTCCAACTGGGTGAATCAATTAGAGAACAAAGCATAGGAGCTTTATCCAGCACTTATCCGCTGAGCAAACACCGAGCTTTCTAGGAACCTTTTCTAAGGCAGGTCTAAGAAAGGTGATGCTGGCAGTCTAATGCAAGCAGGTAGGAGCCTAGAACACACCGCATGAAGTCTGGAGCTCCAGAATCTCCACTCTGTCCACAAAACTGCCCAGAGAGAGCTCTTGAAGGCTTGGAAGGTAAAGGAAACTGAAAGCCACATGCAAATATAAAATCATCGCTTTTATCCCCACAAGGGACGGGAGACATAGAACGGTCTCCCTTTCTATTGATGAGAAACCGGAGGCTCAGAGAAGTCAAAAAAGAAAAAAAAAAAAGCACACCAGCCCAAGAATCATCAGTTCACTGATCTATTCATGTACTCACTCAACAAGTAATTACTGAGCACCTACTGTGTGCAGGGCTCTCTTTTTGGCACCAAGAACAGAGATTGGGAGTAAGACCAATGGGGTTTCAAGGAGCAACATTCTAGTGGGAGGTGGAGGGCTACTAGGGTGATGGGGTTGATACAACACACACAGGCGCCAAGCAAATCAATGGACAGGACCCGTTAGGGAGTCACAGCCAGGGAGCCCCGACTCCACACCTCCCACTGCCCCCCAGCCTCCCCAGGCTCTTCAGGGAGGTGTGAAGCCACCTTGGCCTAACGTCCTAATGCCCCTATCCAGGGAGCATTTGATTTCACTGGGTTGCTGCATTTCTCACTGTGGGCTTTTGACTGCTGCCTTTACCTTAAATTTTGATTTTAGCATATCTGGTTTCCTGTCCTCTGAAATTCAGATGGTACTTTTTTCTGGGCCCTTTTATTTCCCTTTTTTTACCCTTCTTTGTCCTCGTTCTTGACTTTGCACTTAATTGTTTTCTGAGACATTCGTCTTTTCTGACAGTTTCATAGGGCTTTCTCATATCTGGTCTTTACCTTTATGGAATCTTTCATTTTATTTAATTTTATCCAGGATTAGTTTTTTTTATTGCAGAAGGAACACTGCACACAGGCCTCTCAGCCTTGGACGGAAGGAGCTGGCAACTGTGAGGTCTGATTTTGGTTTTGCCATGTGACCTGGAGTAGTCACGCTGGGAGTCTCATTTTCCACATCTGTTATGAAAAGTACTTCCTCCAGGGGCTGCAGTCTGAACAAAATGACCAGAGTAACTGCAATGCAGCAGATCCAGGTTCGATCCCTGGGTGGGGAAGACCCCCTGGAGAAGAGAATGGCTACACACTCCAGTATTCTTGCCTGGAGAATTCCATGGACAGGGGAGCCTGGCGGGCTACAGTCCATGGGCTGCAATGAGTAGAACACAACTGAGTGACTTACACACACACACACACACACACACACACACACAACTAGAGCACAGGCTCCGTGAGGACAAGGACACATCTCCTTCTCTGTATCCCTGGGGTGCAGAGCGCATAGCATGGGCCATGTGCCAACCACACTCACTACCTACGTGGATTAACAAAAAAGTGAACGGAAAATGAAAATGCTAGCGGTAATGGGGTTACAGGTTGAATCACGTTCCCCCAAAATCCATACTTGAGGCCCTGACCCCAGTATCTCAGAATGTGTCTGAATTTGGAGATAGAACCTTTACAGACGTGATTAAGGTAAAGCAACGCCATCACGGTGGACTCTAACCTCCCCGGCAAGTGTCCTTATTAGGAGACCAGGACACAAACACACACGGAAGGACGACCACGTGAGGACACAGGGGGCAGACAGCTGTCTACAAGCCAAGGAGAGAGGCCTCAGAAGGACTCAGCCCTGCCCACACCTTGACATGAACGTCCAGCCTCCAGGGCTGTGAACAAACTAATTTCTGTTGTTTGTGAGCCAACTGGTCTGCGGAACCTTTTCACAGCAGCTCTAGCAAACCAGTGCCAATAGAAGGTATATGGTTGAATGCTTACTACGCACAAGACATGGTGATGAGCAATTAACATCTATGTAAATAAATTTTTTAAAAAAGAAAAAAAACTATGTAGAAATGTGTAAATAAATATGAGAACATGCCAAAAAAAAGAAATTAACGTCTATGGATGACATATCTTGATAATCAGGTCCATAGAGGTTACAAGGAGCTAAAAGGGAGCCTGGTTCACGGCAAAGTGTGTGAGATTCTGGGGCCCATTCACTAATCCAGAATTCGGCATCACTGAATGAATGGAGGATGGCAGGAAGAAAAGCATGAACAACGGATAATGTGCTCGAGGTTTCTAAAACAACAATGATGAGACAGAAACCACAAGTAACACAGACAATACCTGTGACGAACTCTGGAAGGAGAGCTGGGCAGGAAGCAGCAGGATGTCTCCACTCCCGACGTCTCTGGCCTCGAGCGAAGCTGTGTAGCTGACAGAGAAGGAGTCTCCAACTGTTCAGAGAGAAGGCATGTGCGGTCAGCAAGGGGGCCCCTGCACACCCCAGACACGGCATCATAGCCCCTTTGATCACATACTTTTTAGCGCGGAGAGTAAATCAAGCAGGCATGCTCTTGGGCCAACTCAGCTTTTACTTGAAGGGCTGTCAGCAGGTGCAGGGAGGTTTACCTGGGCCCCCAACCCATCCAGAAATGCCTGGGCCTGGGCGGGTCAGCCTTCCTAACTCAGGATGTATTTAGCTCATCCACTTAGGAAATCCAGAACCTTTCTGTTTTGTTTGGAGTCCAGGTGGGGAACCTATTTATTCCCACTGATCCGATGCAAACAATGAAGGAAAAGTCTTTACAGAACTTTTGGGCAACACTAGCTGCCACTTTGACGCCTCCAGGCAGCCTGGTCCTGGGAGCCCAGCACGAGGCACAGAGAGGCAGCGCAGACCAGGCCCGGGAGAGGGAGAAGGCCACTCGGGCTCACGGAGGGTCCCCTCTAATCTCATGGTCACTGGTTGGCCCTTAATTACACAGAGAAGCTTCCGTAGAAGACAGGGTTTCTGACTCAAGTGGGTCGCCTGCATTGCGGGCAGACGCTTTACCATCTGAGCTACGAGGAAAGCCCCTTAATAAGAAGCCAGGACTGAAATGTCAGCTATGAGGAGAAGGCGCCTCTGCAAAAGGGAGAGGTCACACCCCAGGGTGAACCAGTGGGCTCTGGAGTTATGGGTGGGGAACTCCCTTTTCTTTAGAAGGCCTCCCGGAAGTGGGTGTCACAGCACCCCCAGTTCACAGCTGCATGGGCTGAGGTTCACGGATGTGCAGAGCGCACGTGTCAAGAGCAGAAGTCAGCGAGTTCATGGGCAAAGTGTGTGGTCCTGGCTCCGAGCAGGTGAAGTGCAGGAGTGGCAGGTGAGTGAGGGGCAGGGAGCAGGGAAGGGTCCTCCAGGGGGACACAAGAGCAGGAGCTGATGCTGAGCCATGGGAGGAAAGTGCCCAGTTCGGGATGGTAGGAGCATGGACCACACAAGGCCACTGGAGCAATAAAATGAGAGGCAGGCAGAGTGCCAAGCCATGTCGCCTCGTTCAGACTCTGCAGTGACTCTGTAAGGCTGGGGGACACATGCCACGTCTGTGCAAGCTCAGAGAAATGCAGTGATTTCCGGAGGCCCCGCAGCTCGGAAATGGCCAGGAATCAAGGGAGCTCTGTCTGAGGTCGAGTCTGGGCTCGCTCTCAGCCCTACATTCCTGTCTCTAAGCACGAGCTTAAGAACTGGGGAGATTCATTTTTACATCATTGAAGAAAGGCACTGAAGATCACTCAGCTGAGACGTACCATGACGGTTTTTACACCATTGCTTAAACCAGCGCCAGCAAAGAGGTCACTACTTGCGGGCCAACTTCACTGACAGCTTCTGTCAACAGTATGGTGTTAAGATGGATTCTGAGGTTTCATCTAGACTCAGAAAGAGTGGTGGCGTTGATGAGCAACGTTTGCCATGCTTATGGAAGTGGACAGGTCTGTAAGAGTCCCAGGCCTGTGAGCGGCACTATAGCATCGTGGGTACGGGGTGGATGGAGAAGTCAGACTGAGTTTGTCTCAGCCTTGACTGCCAACCCTGGGCCTTGGGCAAGTTCCTCATCACCTTAGTTTCTACATCTGTAGACAAGGCACCTTCTCAGAATAAAAGAAGTCCCACCTTCCTAGGAAAACTGACAAGTCTGAAGTCAGAGTCACAACTGTACCCCAGAATTATTTTTTTCTTAATTGCTTGTTTATTTTTGGCTGTGCTGGGCCTTCACTGATGTGCAGGCTTTTCTCTAGTTGTGGCTAACGGGGGCTACTCACTAGCTGTGGCGCATGGGCTTTTCATTGCGGTGACTTCCCTTGTTGTGGAGCATGGGCTCTAGGGCGCATGCGTTTCAGTAGCCGGGCTCCCAGGCTCTAGACGGGCTCAGTAGTTGTGGTGCACGAGCTGAGTTGCTCTGTGCTCCTGGGATCTTCATGGATCAGGGATAGAACCTGTGTCTCCTGCATTACTTCCGAGCCACCAGGGAAGCCCCCAGAATTGGTTTTAAATCTCCTTAATTAACCAACGACAAGCTCACTTCAGGAAACACACCTCTGAAAGCCAACCAGTGATGGTGTCATGCTCTGAACGGGAGCTAATTAGCAGCAGAGTTACTCCTGTGAACACAGCTGAACATGTCAAGAGCACGCTTCCTGGGCTGATGCCAAACTCCTCCCGTGTCTGTCCAGTACTTCCCCAACAAGCTCTTCATTTCACTGAGTGATGGTCATTTTGATCATCCAGCTGGTGGATACAGTGGGGTTCACTGTAATCTCTTTGTGTATGTTTGAAATTGTTCATAATAAACTTTGAATACATATACTTTAAAGTCTGCTTCCCTAAATCCCACCTCTCTCAACCTAAGTGACAAACCAGCTTCCTGGTTGCAGAAACTGTGCAGGGGTCTCCTCCTCTCATGCCCCACCAGCAGATTCCATCATGAGGATCCACAGCATGAACACAAGTCCCATGTCTGAGAAGATGCCTGCTGCCTATCCCGTGCTCTGTGCATATCTGTATATACCTCCATCATGTCCCAGCCTTAACTTTGTACACGTAGCTATTACCTTGCAGAAACTTCTTCCTGAAAGCCTGGAAGCCTCTTGAGGTCTGGTTTCCAGCTGACTCACTAACAGTGAGGCCAGTAATGTTGTCCAGTAAGAGCAGGTCGGAGAGGTTGGCAGCCGTGGGTGTCCTGGTATTGTTCACAAACAGTAGCACGTGGGCTGATGGCCACTCACCCTGCACAGACACCTAGGACAGGAGGGGAAGTGAGGCCGGACTCAATGGTGAGCCCGACTTCCCAACACAAGGCCCCAGCTCGACTTGCACCCACTAGGTCTGCAGGCAGAGGGAAGGGATTACGGTCTCACGAAGGTTCTAGAATTTATCGGGTCTGATATCAAACACCCCGGGAGAATTTTGACTCCCTCTTGACAAGCTGTTGCTCAGATCATTTCAAAGAAACCAGGACCCTGAACTTCAGTAAAACCACAGAGAAACTTGGATGAAAAAACATCCATGCATGGGACCACAGTAGGAGAGATTGTCACAACTGGGATCACCAGGAAAAACACACAGTAGCACTTTCTTAATTCATTATTTTGAAGATTCAGCCCCAGCCAGTCCAGGTCCTCTGACTGCCATCCGATCCCCAAGTTTGCCCTGAGCTGGTCTCCTGTCTCCTGGCCAGTTGCCTTCCAGCTTCTGCCCACCCATGTGCTTGCACAGCTTGGTTATTCAAAGCCAGTGGCCCATCTCCAGCTTGGCTCCCCACCTGGCCTCTGCACCTTGCCCTGCCCCCTCTCTCAAAGCCTATTTCCCACCATTCCTGCCCTTCCTTCACCCCAGCTCTGCTGAAAGAGACAGAGGAGCTGAGAAAAGAGAGGGAAGCCATGTACAGCCCCAAGAAGAGTGAGCTCTGGATTGTAATAAGTAAAAAAGAGCAAATTGAAAAACTTGGCATATAGGGTAGTCACCTACGTAAAAAGGGGAAGAAAGAAGGTATGTGTATGTATGTGCACATGGGCACACACACACACACACTCATAACTATGCTCATGTAGCAGGAAACATTTCTAGGAGGACACAGGAGAAACTGGGAGCTCCAACTGTATTCCAGGAAGTGAATCAAGAGAGCCAAGGGCTGGGCCGCAATGAGAGCTGTGCAGTACATGGTAGGCTAAGCAGATCTGGACGTCCAAACCCCGCCTATCCCAAAGAGACGACCAGCTCCTGTGAGACTGGCCCTGAAAGCCCGTGGAATATCTTGTCTGGTAAGAGTGTCTTGCTATACTATGGCCTTGGGCCACCCCAGGTAGTTTGAGCTAACCATGTAATTCATGGTGGGGGCCTTCAGCCAAGCTATGTTCAGGTGACCTAAGTAACTGAGGTCAGTGATGTGAGTGCTCCATGCCTACATGATGGCCCCTCAATAAAAATCCTGCACTCCACGGCTTGGGTGAGCTTCCCTGGTGATGTCACACACCATTGCTGGGAAAAATTAAATGCTGTTCCTTCAATTCCACTGGGAGAAGACCAGGTGTCTTGGGCCTGGTCTCCCCAGAACTCTGTCCTACGAGCTCTTGGCTTTGCTGACTATAATCTTTATCGTTCCGCTGTAATAAACTGTGACTGTGAGTAGAGCAGCTGTTCGGAGTTCCCTGAGTCCTTCTCGGGAACGTGACGATGGTCTTGGGGACCCTCAACACAAGGATCATGTGAAGGTCATCTCAAGAGATTAGTAAGAATCAAAGACCTAAAGACATTACATAAATCTGTAAACTGTTGGCATCATATCACTGTTAAAATCTGAGAGAAAATACATGCTTTCTTTCCCATTTTAAATAATCACAGAGGATTTTCAGTTAATGATTTTGTTGTTACCAAAAAAATCTTAGTCTGGTGCTTCCATATAAAATATGGGATCCCTGTGGGTCACTTTATCACCCGTGTCCAGACATGGGTAGACGGCCATGTGATTTGCCAGGTCTTTAAATACATAACATACAAAACTAATACACATTTTCAGCAAATTCAATTACTTTCTCTTTAAGCATAAACCACCAGTGAGCACTCACCACTGCACATTTCTGAAAAATGACTCCATTCTCAGAAGTCCCTTGAACGTCTCTTGAAATGTCTCCATACTACAATAAAATGTAGAACTTATTAGAAAATGAAAAACATTTCATGCCACACACGTTAAATAAAAATACAAGATGAACTTTTAAAAGTGGGGGGAGGTTGGAGAAACTTCCCTGGCAGCCCAATGGTTAAGACTCCACGCTTCCAATGCAGGGGGTACAGACTAGATGCCTGATCTGTGAACTAAGATCCCACATGCTGTGGGATGTGGCCAAAAAATAAATAAGTAAAAGGCAGGGTAGAAGGGTTGCTTCTGTAGTCACGCATTTTGACCCTGAAGACTTTTTTTCTTTAAGTCCTACAGAACTGGAACTTATAACCTATGAATAAAGAAAAACATGGACACGTGATGACATGGGGTTGTGTCCTGTTCAGAGGTACATGCCAATGACATCATTGTCACAGGGACTCAGCGAAGCAGGGCTGACACTTCAGCAGGAGGAATGTGAGCAGAGCTATGGAAAAATCCTTTAAAGACTGCTCACATATCCTGGCTTCCTAGGCCTTGTCGTTGTTCAGTTGCTAAGTTGTGTCCAATTCTGTGCCATCCCATGGATTGCAGCATGCCAGGCTTCCCTGTCCTTCAGAGTCTCCTTGAGTTTGCTCAAATTCATGTCGATTGAGTCAGCGATGCTATCTCACCATCTCATCCTCTGTCACCTCCTTCTCCTTTTGCTTTCCATCTTTCCCAGCAGTGGGGTCTTTAGTAGTAAAGAATTTGCCTGCTGATGCAGGAGATGTAGGAGATGCAGGTTTGATCCCTGGGTCAAAAGATCCTCTGGAGGAGGAAATGGCAACCCACTCCAGTAGTCTTGCCTGGAGAATCCCATGGACAGAGGAGTTTGGTGGGTTACAGTTCATGGGGTTGCACAGAGAGACTCAGACAAGGCTGAGCGAGTGAGCAGCTCAACACGCACATGTCCTGAGTGGGATACACAAGCCACACAGCAGGAACCTAGTGAACATGGACCATGGTGTGTTGGGGTGCTTCTTGTGAGCTGGATTGCGCATTAACAGGCAGAGAATCCACCCAGGATTGGCCTCCTCCAGCCCCATGAGCAGCTCCCCTGGTAAAAAATCTGACTGCAATGCAGGAGACCAGGGTTTAATCCCTGGGTCGGGGAGATCCCTTGGAGAAGGGAATGGCTACCCAGTCCAGTATTATTGCCTGGAAAATCCATGGGTAGAGGAGTTTGGTGGGCTACAGTCCATGGGGTTGCAAAGAGTTGGACACGACTGAGCAATTCACACACACACAACCCCATGACACCTCCCCTGGAAACCAATGGAAAGCCAGGGCTCACCCACTGGATGCCAGCCCCGCTGCTCCTTGTCAACATAGCTGCTACCTGTTCGTTTTCATCCTTGCACATGCCCCTTGACCCCACGCCATGCATCCCCACTGTCTGCCCCGCCCACCTTCATCTGTGTTGGGTGGAGCCATACTGTGAATCACAGACCAAGGCAGCTCTCAGTGATACCAATAATCCTAACAATGGCTACTCTTTCCCAAGTTCTGGGCGTATATCTGTCACTGTACACACATGAATTCTATTTCTCCCATTTTACAGATGAAGAAACTAAGGCTCATGGAGGTTAACCACCTGCCCAAGGCTGCACAGGTAGGAAGCTTGGACTCTACCCAGGCAGTGTGCTGGTTAAAGGTCCGTATGCTATGATAAGATAGGTATAGGTAGGTATAGGTATAGCTCCATATGCTATGATTCTCCCGTAGGGCACACTCCCTCTCCAGAGCATCACTCTCTCATTGTATATAGTACAGAAATGAACAAAGACGCAGAGAGCAGAAGTGATGTTCTGAGAACACTTTGACCACAGGCAGCAGCATGAGCTGTTGAGGCCTTTGATTCTGGCTGAGTCTCTGTCCATGACCCCACCCTCATGCTTTGACGTGCCAGGACCCCAGCAAGTCCTTGAGGTCAGGCATCTGGCTTTCTAGTCTTCAGATCCCTACACAGTATCCTGCATGTGACAATCAGATAAACACAGTTTGTTGGGCAAAGACACACAGGAGGGGGATGGTGCATGGACTGGAAAGGTGATGACCACCATGGTGGCTGGATGCAGCTCGTCCTGAAGCCCAGAACCTGGGAACATGACCCTATTTGGAAAAGTGGTCTTTGAATATGTAATTAAGCAAGGCTCTCAAGATGAGATCATTCTGGATTTCAGGTGGGTTGGATTTAGCCAGGTCCTAAATCCAATGACAAGTGTCCTCATTAGTGACAGAAAAGGAGAAGACACACCCACAGAAAAAAGGACACAAGAAGGTGAAAGGAGAGTATAACAGTAAATGTTAGGTATCAACTGGCTGGCCGTGGTTCCCAGATACTTGGTCAATTACCTCCTGATGTCACTGTGAATGTATTTTTTAGATGAGATTTAATATTGAGGTCAGTGGACTCTGAAGGAAGCTGATGACCCATCATAGTGTGGGTGGGCCTCACCCAATTGGGTGAGGTCTTAACAAAAACATGAAGGTTTCCCCTACAGAAAAGTGCATTCTGTGCAGAGACCTTTGCAACTTGAGTATCAGCTCTTCCTTGGGTCTCCAGGCCACACTTGCAGATCGTGGACTTTGCCAGCTCCTACAATCACATAAGCAATTTCTTGAAGTAAATCTCCCCCTCCCTCCTTCACAAACATGTGTGTGTGTATCTCTGTGTGTGTGTGTATACACACATCCTACAGGTTTTGTTTCTCTGTAGAATCCCAATATAAAGATTGGAGTGATGCAGCCACAAGCCAAAGAAAGCTACTGAAGCTGAAAGAGATAAGGATGGATTTTCCCCTACAAGCTCCCGGGAACAGCACAGCTCTGCTGACACCTGACTTTGGCCTTCCTGCCTCTAGAACAAGGAGAGAATAAACTTCACTGTTCCAAGCCACCAGGCTGGTGATAATTTGTCACACAACTATCTGATACAAAATGTAGGAGATTAACACAAAATGTAGCCGAGGGCCAAGGAGGAGCTTGTAGCGTGGTAGCCTGTTGGCTGAACCCAGTGGCTCTCAAGCCATTTTAAGTCATGACAGTTTAGGTGAGAGTCAGCCTCACGTGGCGCCAACACATTACACGGTATGAAGAACATTGGGAGCAGGGACAGTGGCTAAGAGCAGGGGCCCCACATCCTAGTTCTGCCACTTCGACCCGTGGGACCCTGAACAAACTCCTTAACCTCTCCAATCTTCAGTTCCTATCTGTAAAAAAGGAATAAAAATAGTACCTGTTTAAGAAACTTATAATGAGGCTCCAGTGAGATTATGCATAGAAAGCGCCAAGCCTATGGCTTTTCCAGTAGTCATGTATGGATATGTGAGTTGGACAAGAAGGATGAGCACCCAGGAATTGATGCTTTCAAACTGTGGTGCTGGAGAAGACTCTTGAGAGTCCCTGGGACTGCAAGGAGACCAAACCAGTCAATCCTAAAGGACTCAGTCCTAAAGAATCATTGGAAGGACTGATGCTGAAGCTGAAGCTCCAATACTTTGCCCACCTAATGCGAAGAGCTGACTCATTAGAAAAGACCCTGATGCTGGGAAAGATTAAGGGCAGGTGGAGAAGGGGACGACAGAGGATGAGATGGTGGGATGGCATCACTGACTCAATGCACATGAGTTTGAGCAAACTCCAGGAGATAGTGAAGGACAAGGAAGCCTGGCGTGCTGCATTCCATGGGGTCGCAAAGAGTCGGACGTGACTGAGAAACTGAACAACAACATGCCTGGTGAGTGGAAAATACTTTTTAAACATTTGGCACTATTATCAGTAGCAGCGTTTTTATAACAGGTGCAAATGAATCGATCCAGTTAAAGCAAAACCCTATGCACTGCTTTAGAACCAGCAGATGAGGCTGCCTAATGCTCAGATTCACATATCCTATTCATCTAAATACTGTATATTGTATAGAAGAAGCAGCTCTCTGTAAAGAAAAATGGATTTGCTCCCTAATGATAACTATATTTAGTGAAAGAGAAAGAATAGGTGTTTTTTGGAGGAGGAACAAAAGCCTATGACATTTTCTACCCAAGTGGTCCAAACTGGTTTCTTTATAACTTCTGATATGTCTTTAAAAGAAATGAACATGTCACTTACCAGGCGGTGTGTTACAGCAGAGTCTCTTTTAAACAAGGTCTTCCTAGGCCACGAGTGTGTAAAAGCAAAAACGGAATGAATCCGTGGTCCACTAGAGGCTGCAGAAGCCAGGGGTGGGTTAAAGACTTCAATTTCCTTACTGAATTTCATTCCAAATGGTGCCTCCTCTGCAAAACAGTAATGTGCATGCATTACATAATACCAAAAGGCAATGATTAAACTCTGGAAGCAAACCACATGATACGTGGCAGGCATTTGGAAAATCTTTGCTGAGTAAGTGAACAAGGGTGTGAATGAATGAATGACTTATCTCTTTGCCAAGAAGGTGAGAAGTTCTCATTGGGAGTCATAGAGCTTAAGAAGAGTTTCTTGGAGTGTGTATTTCTTACCTGAGCTGTAGGCGGAAATGTACACTCCTGGCCCGCCTCTAGACTGACTGAGTCAGAACCGTTAGGTAAGGGAGGAGGCATGGGTGATTCCTACATACCTAGCATCAGAGGGCCCTAGGTTCCAATCCTGGCTCTGTCACTCACCAGCTATGCCCTTGGGAAAACCTCTAACCACTCTGTAAATTTCTATTCTGAAGTGACCAGAATTGTGGAGTCGTGCCTTTTCAACATTTATCTTCTGTCCAAGTACAAACTGTATATGGACTGAGAATGAATCCTGTTTTTCACTCTTCCTTACACAGAGTATTGATAGCAAGGTCTTTAGAACTGCTTTGGAACCCTGTTTATAGAATTTCCAAATAAATGTAGGAAAAATTAAAATAAAAAAAAAAGAATGTGGAACTGGATCCTGGATAAAATCAGTATCCTTTTCCCCAGAATAGCATCTGTGGTTCAATTCAAGACATTGGAATGGGGACAAAGGTGAGCATCTGGGGATCGAGAGCCCTCACCATGGAAACCGGCAGGCGCTTTCCCAGGCTGGCTGCTCAGTTGGGACTGTTCGAGTCAATCACACAAGTGGGACAGAACACCCACCTCCAGACCCCAGTCCAGTCCTTCGGGCTCCGGGACAAAGACTCACTGGACTTCAAATCTTAAGGCCACTCTGGGCTTTGTCTCTGGTGTGGGTGTCTACGCCCCTGCTCCTCCAGGCACTCAGAAGGCCCAGCCGTGGGCTCTGATGGAGACCTGAATGAGGACAGACACTGCTACTGTCCACAGACAGTACAGAAGGAAGTCAAGCTCTGACCTGACCACCACCTCCCACTGCGTCACTAACAAGCGGTCTCCCCGCTAGCGTGCTGTCACATGGGTTATCGGTCGTGAATCTGCAGCTGTTTGAATGCACCCTCGCTCCCTCACCTTTGGGCTGCCACATGCCTGGAAGCCTCTCCCTGTTTCCTTCTCCTAGATGCAACACCTCCTCCAGGAAGCCCTCCCTGAAGCCTTCCCAGTGACCTCATTCCTCCACCCTCTGCTCTCACTACAACCACAGTCCTAAGTGCACAGCCCTCCCTTATCCAAAACGCCTGCTTAATTAGTGACTAAAAGTTTTCCATAATTATCATGATATCACTTCAACCTATTTTACTCAAATGAAAACACTGGATTTTGTAAATTTCTATAAAGTCTTTTGTAAAGACTGCTTGTTGCTGTTCAGTTGCTAAGTTGTATCCAACTCTTTGTGACCCTGGATATTGCAGCATGCCAGGCTCCTCTGTCCTCCACTATCTCCTGGGGTTTGCTCAAACTCATGTCCATTGAGTCAGTGATGCTATATAATCATCTCATCCTCTGTCGTCCCCTTCTCCTCCTGCCTTCAATCTTTCCCAGCATCAGGGTCTTTTCTAATGAGTCAGCTCTACACATCAGGTGGCCAAAGTATTGGAGCATCAGGTTCAGATCAGTCCTTCCAATGAATATTCAGGACTGATTTCCTTTAGGAGTGATTGGTTTGATCTCCTTCCAGCCCAAGATACTATCAAGTGTCTTCTCCAGCAACACACTTCGAAAGCATCATTTCTTGAGCACTCAGCTTTCTTTATGGTCAACTCTCACATCCATACATGACACTGGAAAAACCATAGCTTTAACTATACAGACCTTTGTTGGGAAAGTGATGTCTTTGCTTCTTAATACACTGTCTACGTTTGTCATAGCTTTCCTTTCAAGGAGCAAGCTTTAACCTCGTGGCTGCAGTCACCATCCGCAGTGATTTCTGAGCCCAAGAAAATAAAATCTGTCACTGCTTCAACTTCTTCCCCCTCTATTGGCCATGACATGATGGAACTGGACGCCATAATCTTAGTTTTTTCCATGTTGAGTCTTAAGCCAGCTTTTTCACGCTCCTCTTTCACCTTCATCAAGAGGTTCCTTAGTTCCTCTTCACTTTCTGCCATAAGGGTGGTGTCATCTGCCTACCTGAGGCTATTGATATTTCTCCCAGCAATCTTGATTCCAACTTGTGTTTCATCCAGCCCAGGATTTCGGATGATGTACTCTGCATATAAGTTAAATAAGCAAGGTGACAACATATAGCCTTTTCGTACTCTTCCCAATTTTGAACCAGTCCGTTGTTTCATGTCTGGTTCTAACTGTTGCTTTTTGACTGGCTTACAGTTTCTCAGGAGACCAGTAAGGTGGTTGGGTATTCCCACCTCTTTAAGAATTTTCCACAAGTTTGCGCTGATCCACACAGTTAAAGGCTTTATTATAATCAATGAAGCAGAAGTAGATGATTTGCTGGAACTCTCTTGCTTTCTTCATTATCCAATAAAAGTTGGCAATTTTATCTTTGGTTCCTCTGCCTCTCCAAAACCCAGCTTATTCATCTGGAAGTTCTCAGTTAATGTACTGCTGAAGCCTAGCTTGAAGGATTTTGAGCATAACATTGCTAGCTCATAAAATGAGAGCAGTTATACAGTAGTTTGAACATTCTTTGCCATTGCCCTTCTTTGGGATTGGAATGAAAGCTGATTTTTTGCAATCCTGTGGCCACTGCTGAGTTTTCCAAATTTGCTTACATATTGAGTGCAGCAGAGTAACAAAAGACATAAAAAAATACTTTTAACTCCCCCAGAAAATGAAATATGTTTATCCCTGGAATAAAACAAGGTGTATTCATAACCTGTGTCAATTCTGGATGAAAAGTCTGTTCTGCCTGCCCAGGACCCTCCCTTCAGGGCAGCCTCCCCGACTAATCAGTAAGATTCTTGCTTAGTCTCTACAGACAAACCTGGATCCCAGCGCATCCTGGTCCCCAGGAGGCCAGACTTAAGCCCAGAACCCAGAACACCAGTGATGGGACTGGGGACTGGCATGGGACTCAGACTGTGTGCATTAGTCTTCCCTGAACTTCTGCCGAGCTACAGAAAGTCTCTTCCTTTCTGCAAGAGGCAGCAGTTACTTCCACATGGAAAATCACATGGAAAGAACGTTCCTGGGAATGACTCACCAGACAAAAGCAGGAGCCTCAATGGAAAGAGAAAAACAGAGCCCTGAGAACACTGTGCTCCTGGATCCAGGGCCTGTGCAGTTCAGCAATAAGGGTCAACAAATTGCTCAGTGCTTAAGTTAGTTTCAGTTGGATTTCTGAAACCTGGTATGGTAGACTTTCAGTGCATGTGTACTCAGTTATGTCTGACTTTCTGCAATCCTGCCAGGCTCCTCCGTCCATGGGATTTCCCAGGCAAGAATACTGGAGTGGGTTGCCATTTCCTTCTCCAGGGAACCTTCCTGACCCAGGGACTGAACCTGGGTCACCTGCATCTCCTGCATTGGCGGATGGATTCTTTACTGCTGAGCCACCTGAAAGTCAGGTAGACTGACTAATGGTACCCAAAGACACGCAGGTCCTAATCTCAGCGACCTGTAAACATGTTCTCTTATATGGCAATGGACTCTTTGCAGATATGGTTAAATTCAGCTCAGTTCAGTCGCTCAGTCGTGTCCGACTCTTTGCCACCCCATGAATCGCAGCACGCCAGGCCTCCCTGTCCATCACCAACTCCTGGAGTTTACCTAAACTCATGTCCATTGAGTTGGTGATGCCATCCAACCATATCATCCTCTGTCATCCCCTTCTCCTCCTGCCCTCAATCTTTCCCAGCATCAGGGTCTTTTACAATGAGTCAGCTCTTTGCATCAGGTGGCCAAAGTATTGGAGCTTCAGCTTCAGCATCAGTCCTTCCAATGAACACCCAGGACTGATATCCTTTAGGATGGACTGGTTGGATCTCCTTGCAGTCCAAAGGACTCTCCAGAGTCTTCTTCAACACCACAGTTCAAAAGCATCAATTCTTCGGCACTCAGCTTTCTTTATAGTCCAACTCTCACATCCATACATGACTACTGGAAAAACCAAAGCCTTGACTAGATGGACCTTTGTTGGCAAAGTAATGTCTGCTTTTTAATATTCTGTCTAGGTTGGTCATAACTTTCCTTCCAAGGAGCAAGCATCTTTTAATTTCATGGCTGCAGTCACCATCTGCAGTGATTTTGGAGCCCCCCAAAATGAAGTCAGCCACTGTTTCCCCATCTATTTGCCATGAAGTGATGGGACCAGAAGCCATGAACTTAGTTTTCTGAATGTTGAGCTTTAAGCCAACTTTTTCACTCTCCTCTTTCACTTTCATCAAGAGGCTCTTTAGTTCTTCTTCACTTTCTGCCATAAAGGTGGTGTCATCTGCATATCTGAGGTTATTGATATTTTCAATTGATGAGGAAGCAACCTGGATTATCCAGGGGGCCATAAATATAATCCCAGATGTCCTTACAGAGGGAGGCAGAGAGATATTTGAGAAGCATAAGAGAAGGTCATGGGACCACTGAAGCGAGAAGCAACACTGCTGGCTTGGAGGATGCAGGACGGGTCATGACCTGCAGGATGTAAGGAATGAAGCTCCAGACCCTGGAGAAGGAAGAACATTCTTCTCAGGGCCCTGAAGACAGTGCTTACACCCTGACTTCAGACCAGTTAAACTGACTGTGAACTTTCACCCTCCAGAACTATATGAGAATACATCTATATTGTTTTACCACTAAATCTCTGATAACTTGTTACAGCAGCAAAAAGAAACTCATACAGTTGACTAATACACACATTCTGCGTTTTCTTCGTCAGACACCTTCAGGGGAGAATCAAGATTCCACCTTACCTGAATCATTATTGATTCTTGATTCTTACCAATTATTATTGAATCTTACCAAGAATCAATCACCGCCTTACCTGAACTCAGCTCTGTGCACCCCAGGTCACTGCTGCAGGAATGGGACTCACTGCTCTTGCTCTGTAAGGTACACAGGTGAGCAGGGTGCAGGGAGGCAGAAGCAGGAGGTCTATGACTTTAGGGTCTGGTTCTCTCTCTTGGTCAAATTGATAAAAAAAAATCAACCAAGAGAAAAACTTACCTGGAGTCGTAATATGAGAGTTTTTCACACTGGGCCAAATCCCAAAGGGTAAGTCCTAAAAGTCCAAAGGCAGAAAGATGTTATTGAAGAAAATACTAGAAGTTGTTGAAAAGTCATTTCTGTAAATGGCTTGCGTGGAGTGGAGCTGCCTGTTTTTCCTGACGTCTGATGTAAATCTTTCTAAGTTAACCATCTCCACCAGCATCTGAGGAGAGGATTATATAACTGCATTCCTGGAAGCTGTCTAGGGAGGCAGCACAGTGTAATGGAATTTCATATAGTTAGACCTGAGTTCAAATCCCAGTTCTGCTTTTCATGAACCCTCTGATGTGGTGAGAGCCTCAAGCCTCTGAATTCCCAAGATCCCACTCGTTTTCACAGAGTGGTACATAAAACACAGGCTTGGGAGTTGGAGACCTAGATCTGAGCTGGAACCATTTATCTGCTGTGTGTCCTTGAACAAGTCTCTTAGACTTTCTGAGCCTCAGGTATTTCTTCTGGAAAGTGTAGAACTCTTCCCAGCTTGCTTCACCTTGTTCAGTGATGAAAACTTGTCTAAACAGGGCTCAGTCAACTCCTCCATCGCATCTTTGTGAAATACTGAACCCAAAAGAAGCTCAGAGCCCTCCACTATAAAACAGTAATAATAATCATTATCACGATTATTACTATAGTGCCTTGGCTAGAGCCCTTGACATGGGCCAAGCCCTGTGCTGTTCACAGTAGCATTATTCACAATAGCCTAAAGGTATAAGGAACCTACTGTCCACTAATGGATGGATGGATAAGCAAAAGTGAAAGTGAAAGTCGCCCAGTTGTGACTGACTCTTTGTGACCCCATGAACTATACAGTCCATGGAATTTTCCAGGCCAGAATACTGGAGTGGGTAGCCTTTCCTTTCTCCAGGGGCTCTTCCCAACCCAGGGGTCAAAACCCAGGCCTCCCACATTGCAGGTGGATTCTTTACCAACTGAGCTGTCAGGGAAGCCCATGCAAAAGTGGTCCATGCATAAAATGAAATATCATTCAGCCCTGAAAGGAAGGAAAATTTGTCACAGGCTACAGCATGGATGAGACTTGAGGCCATCAGGCCAAGTGAAATAAGCCAGTAACAAAAATGCAAATACTGTATGATTCCACTTATAGGAGATATGTAAAATTCATAGAGACAGAAAATAGAAGGGTGGCTGTCAGGGGCTGGGGGACAGCAGAACAGGGAGTTGTTGATTAATGGGGACAGTTTCAGTGTTACAAGATTAAAATAATTCTGCAGGTGGAAACACAACAATGTGAATGTATTTAACATTGCTGAGCTGTACACTTAAAAAGGGATAAGAGGGTAAATTTTGTTCCGTATGGTGGTGGTGGTTTAGTTGCTAAGTTGTGTCCGACTCTTTGCGACCCCGTGGACTGTAGCCCGCCAGGCTCCTCTGTCCGTGGGATTTCCCAGGAAAGAATATTGGAGTCAGTTGCCCTTTCCTACTCTAGGGTATCTTCCCGACCCAGGGATCAACCCGCGTCTCCTGAACTGCAGGCAGATTTTTTACTGATGAGCCACGAGGGAAGACCATTTTGTTATATATATTTTACCACAACTACAAATATAGATACATAAATAAAGCAAATCTATGATCATCCAGAAAAAAACTCTGAGATATATCAAGTGAGATTACTGGATCATAATATGATGAATAATACAGTCTCATTTAATAAAAATGACATTTTATTTTATAAATATTTAATATATTATCATATATTTGACAGTTATATTCACTTTATTTTTTATATAAATTATGTTAGTGCATGTGGGTGCATGCTCAGTCACTAAGTCATGACCAACTCTTTTGTGACCCCCTGGACTAGTAACCTGCCAGGCTCCTCCGTCCATGGGATTTCCCAGGCAAGAATACTGAGTGGGTTGCCACTTCCTTCTCCAGGGGATCTTCCCAACCCAGGGACAGAACCGTAGTCTCCGGTGTCTCCTGCAGTGGCAGGTGGACTCTTTACCACTGACCCATCAGAGAAACCCCATATTAGTACATACAGTTACAAATTTAGTAAGTTACTTTATTAGTACATATACTTATACATTTAGTAATTTGAAAGTATATGTAGATATTTAACAATATGTTTAGCATTAATTACCTATAGATTTAATACATAGTTACATGTTTAAAAATATGCCACATAATACCATAGATTATAACCATGTATTATTTTTAAAAGCCTAGGCAGGAGTATGCAGAAGTGTTAGCCTTGGGGACCTGGGGACTGAGTGTGTGTGCAGTCGAAGGGGACCCTGTCTCCACGCCACCTGCATTGTTTTGTTTCCTGTAACAAGGAGCATGTGCCCATGTGTCACCACAACAACAGCAAAAATGACAATAATAAGAGACCAAGTGATGGGGGCCAGCCTTCTCATGCCTGGTAGAAATGCTGTCCCTGAGATCTCCCTGGACAGGTATGTGTGTCCAGAACAACCACTAGTTCATAACATGCCTTCCACAAGGTGGAAACAGGTGCCATTTTCTCAGAGAAGAATGCTGTGTGCCAGACACTGATGGGATAAGTCTTTGCTGCCATTTGCCAGGAAAAAAAAAAAAATCTAAGAGCATCCATTCTAGGCCCTGCATAAGGACCTCGTTCTAATAAAGTACAGTGCGTTGGGCGGGGCGGGTGATTTCATGGCAGAGCAACCTGGCCAGTTCTGGTCCAGCCAAGAGTTCGAGGTCAGTGACAACAGCAAAGCATCCCAGAAAAATTGCTCATCTCTACTTCTGAAATTCAAGGCCACACCATAGTCTCCACCTTATCTAATATTTCTTCCCCTTTGACTGGGAGTGAGCTAAGGAATCATTTTTTTCATTTTGTGTTTTACTTAAGGAAACACTTACTAATTGGATCATTTTCACTGTGTGGGCAGACATCTGTTCCCAGCTTAATTTCTGGAAGCCAGGCAGAATTCCAAGCAACTCACAGTTATTTGACAGTTTTCCATCTTTGTTTCCACTGGTAGAAACAGCTTTCTTAAATACTCCACTCTTTCAAATAAGTTAATTAACAATATCTTGAATTTATGTTCATGTCTAAGCTAATGTTCCCAAACTGGTAAATTTCTAGTCAAAAAAAAATTCCCAAAGCTGTTTTGTAGGACAAGGTGTTCTGTACCTTATTTTTTATGTGGCTGAATATCATTATAAACATAGAAACAACATTTTAATGTATCTAAATTTGTCTCCTTTGATGCTCAGAAATCAAATATGTGCTTAGAACAGTGAGGTATTTTTTTCACTGTAATAAACTAGAATGAAATCTGAAAACAACAACAACAAAAAATTAACAAAACAAAATTTAAAAAAAAACAAACCCACAAACAGCCATAAATCATGTTGCTAGATGCACCCAAGATGAATCCCAACAGAAAGCACCCTGCAAAATCCCCACCCAGTCCTCCAAACTGCCAAAGTCCTCACGACAAAGGAAGTGACAGCTACATGTAAAGTGATGTCCTGGCTGGGGTCCTGGGACCAAAAAGGACATCGGGTACAGGAACTAAGGAAATCTGAATAAACTATGGATGGACTTTTACGGGCTTCCCTGGTGGTTCAGAGAGTAAAGACTCTGCCTGCAACGCAAGAGACCTGGGTTCGATCCCTGGGCTGGGGAGATCCCCTGGAGGAGGGCATGGCAACCTACTCCAGTACTCTTGCCTGGAGAATCCCGTGGACAGAGGAGCCTGGTGGGCACAGTACATGGGGTCTCAGAGGGTCGGACACGACTGAGCGACTAACACACTAACACGTGGACTTTTACAATGGCTTGTCAAGGTTAGACCATTAATTGTAATAAATGTACCTTACTAGGGCTTCCCAGGTGGCTCAGTGGAAACGGATCCTCCTGCCAATGCAGGAGACACAAGAGACATGGGCTCGATCTCTGGGTCAAGAAAGAGGCCCTGGAGAAGGAAATGGCAACCCACTCCAGTATTCTTGCCTGGAGAATCCCATGGACATAGGAAGTCTGGCGGGCTACAGTCCATAGGGTTGCAAAGAGTCAGACATGACTGAGCTAAGTATGTGTGCACGCACATACCTTACTAATGTCAGATGCCAAATAGTAAGAGAAGTTGTGCATTGGGGGGGGATACATATGAATTTTATGCACCATGTGTACAACTTTTCTAAAATCTAAAACTGTTCTAAATACTAAAATCTGTTAACTAAAAAAATAAAAGAATTCATTTGTGAGGTCTCTGGGGTGGACAGTGGTGCCACAGGGCACCAACTCCCACACACGTCTGCCTGTACCGTCCCTGCCCCCGGAATTCTCCATCTATTCTTTCCCCAGCACTCACCACACGGCAGGCTCTTTGGCAGGCCCCTGACTTCATGGGAGGACAAAGGCCCCCTTCCCAACAGACACCTGCACTCCAGGGAGAGGAGCAGGATGCCAAGTGCCCAGGGAGCAAACGACTCAGAAAGGCCTCTTGGCCGAGGCTCCCTGAGGTCTCAGCGGTTCCTGGGTGTCACTAGCCTAGGGGTGCCTCTCTGGGGGCTCCTTGGCCACCGCGAGCAGCCTGGTCCCACAGAGACCATGCCAACCACCAGTCGATAACCCACTTCAATGTGCAGCCTTCCCTTCCCTGCGTGAAGCCCTTCTCCAAGATGACACAGGTCACCTGGCAAGGTCATCATGACCTCGATGGTCTTATTTCACAGCCAGTTCTCCATCCCCATTGCACACAACTCACCAGGAGTATTTGCTATGGGAGTGTATTAGCGTCTTATGGCTGCTGTAACAAGTCACTACAAACCAAGCAACTCAAAACAAATATATGCTTATTATCACATGGTTCTGGAGGTCAGGAGTCTCATACGAGTCTCACTGAACTAAAATCAAGGTGTCTGCAGGGCTGCATTCTTTTCTGGAGGCTGTGGGGGAGCCTCTTTCAGCATCTAGAGGCAGCTCACCCTCCTCAGTTCATAGCCCCTTCCTGCATCTTCAAAGCCAGCAGCAGCAGGTTGAGGCCTCACGGGGCATCACTCTGACCTTCTTCCAATGGACTCTCCTTTGGACTCTCTCCAGCCTCCCTCTTACATTTTGAAAGATCCTTAGGATTACCCTGGTCCACCGGGATGATCCAAGGTCCGCTGAATAGCAACATGAATTTCATCTGCAATGTCAATCTCCCTTTGCCAAGGGATGGAACACACCCACAGGCTCCACGGATGGGGATATAAACATCACTGGGGAATCTTCTCTTCCCAAAATGCCTTCCTTCCTTGACCCATGGGTCACAGCCTTGGTTTCCTTCCTATAAAAGCAGCCACACTTTCTGATCTCCTTTGGTGAATCCTTTCTTCCTTCTGGTCTGGCCTTGGTATCGCTCCAGACCTCTGCTCTAAGGCCTCACCCTTCCCAAACCACACTTACCCCCAAGGAAAACTCAGCCAGGCCCTGTGTACACTGGGTTTAAAGGCATGTGTGCACTGACCACTCCCTGGTAAAGATCTCCAGCTCAGATTTTTCAACCAGATCAGGACTCACCCATCACCACTCTCTTACATATCTCTACCTGGATGACTCGTGGTGGGGAGGGTCAAACTCAATAAGACCAAATCAGAATTCCCCATGGCCTTCTGAGGCTTCTGCATATGAGCTAACAGTATCCCTAGTCTTCTATGTGTTCAGGCCCAAGTCCTTATTTTCATTCTTGACTCCTCCCTTCGGCTCTCTCAATCTGCATCCAGTCACAGCGAACTCTGCTGGCTCTACTTTCGAATATATATCCCAAATCCAGCAACTTCTCAGCAGCCGTCCGCTAACCTCCCTGGTCCATTTCATCTCCACCATTTGCCTGGTGTCCTGCCTGCCTCCGCCCTTGGTCGTTACTTTCACCTCTGCCCTCGGTTCTCTGGTCTCACAGCTGCCACGAGGATTCTTTAAAAAGACGAGTCAAAGCAGGTCACTTTTCTGCTCAAAACCCACCCACGGCTTCCAACAAAATAACAGTCCGAGTCTTAACCGCGGTCCACAGGACCTTTCCTGAAGTGGCCCCGCCCCATCCTCTGGCCCCACCTCCACCCACTCCTCCTTCCTCCCCCATCCCTGCTCCAGTCACACCAGCCTCCCTGCGGTCCTGGACCACACCAAGCACATCCTGCCTCTGGCACTGGTCCTCACTATCTCTGGCCTTTGTCCTCAACTACGATCTCCTTTGGGAAGTTTTTCTCCAGAGGCACCCATGTCCCTCCCTCACTCCATCCAGGGCTCTGCTTAACTGTCACCTCCCCAAAGCACCTTCTCTGACCACCCAGGCCAAACAGTGCTCAAAGCCATCTCTTCCAGTCCACTCTGCCCACTGTACTTCTCTATGGCCTGAACTGCCAACTGCAGCACTATAGATTAACACCACCTGGTGCCCTTTAGAAACCAGCATTCTTGGGGAGGGAGAAGGGTCTTGTTCTCTCATATCTCAAGCACCTAGAATGGTCTGATGCCTAAAGGGCCTTCCATAAACACTCAGAAGACTCTTGCCCACTCAAGTCTTCACTGTCTCGCTCTTTCCAGCACACTTCCAATAGAACTTTCTGGGATGCTGGGAAGGTTCTATGGTCTGGGCTGTCCAATATGGTAGCCACTAACCTATGGGGCCACCGAGCACCTGCAATGTTTAAATTCAAACAGCCACAATGTGGCCAGGGCTACTGTACTGGACACAGCAGTTTTTTTTTTTTTTTCCATTTATTTTTATTAGTTGGAGGCTAATTACTTTACATCATTGCAGTGGTTTTTGTCATACATTGAAATGAATTAGCCATGGATTTACATGTATTCCCCATCCCAGTCCCCCCTCCCACCTCCCTCTCCACCCGATCCCTCTGGGTCTTCCCAGTGCACCAGGCCCAAAAACCTCGAATAGCCAAAGTAATCCTGAGAAAGAAGAATGGAACTGGAGGAATCAACCTGCCTGACTTCAGACTATACTACAAAGCCACAGTCATCAAGACAGTATGGTACTGGCACAAAGACAGAAATATAGATCAATGGAACAGAATAGAAAGCCCAGAGATAAATCCACGAACCTATGGTCACCTTATCTTCAACAAAGGAGGCAAAGATATACAATGGAAAAAAGACAACCTCTTTAACAAGTGGTGCTGGGAAAACTGGTCAACCACCTGTAAAAGAATGAAACTAGAACACTTTCTAACACCATACACAAAAATAAACTCAAAATGGATTAAAGATCTAAATGTAAGACCAGAAACTATAAAACTCCTAGAGGAGAACATAGGCAAAACACTCTCCGACATAAGTCACAGCAGGATCCTCTATGACCCACATCCCAGAATTTTAGAAATAAAAGCAAAAATAAACAAATGGGACCTAATGAAACTTAAAAGCTTTTGCACAACAAAGGAAACTATAAGCAAGGTGAAAAGACAGCCCTCAGATTGGGAGAAAATAATAGCAAACGAAGCAACAGACAAAGGATTAATCTCAAAAATATACAAGCAACTCCTCCAGCTCAACTCCAGAAAAATAAATGACCCAATCACAAAATGGGCCAAAGAACTAAACAGACATTTCTCCAAGGAAGACATACAGATGGCTAACAAACACATGAAAAGATGCTCAACATCACTCATTATCAGAGAAATGCAAATCAAAACCACAATGAGGTACCATTATACGCCAGTCAGGATGGCTGCTATCCAAAAGTCTACAAGCAATAAATGCTGGAGAGGGTGTGGAGAAAAGGGAACCCTCTTACACTGTTGGTGGGAATGCAAATTAGTACAGCCACTATGGAAAACAGTGTGGAGATTTCTTAAAAAGCTGGAAGTAGAACTGCCATATGACCCAGCAATCCCACTTCTGGGCATACACACCAAGGAAACCAGATCTGAAAGAGACACATGCACCCCAGTGTTCATCGCAGCACTGTTTATAATAACCAGGACATGGAAGCAACCTAGATGCCCATCAGCAGACGAATGGATGAGGAAGCAGTTTTAGAGCATCTGGGAAATGGTTGTAACTGACTATCACCTCACCTTTGCAGGAAGGGATAGAGATATTAATAATAAGTTAGCACAAGCATTCATGCTCTGGTTTTCAAAGCACTCTTGGGAATGGTCTGGCAACAAACATCTACATGAATGTTCTGGCATTGACTTTCCAAAGGAAAGAACAGGTGAAGACAGGCGGGTGGGCTCTGAATGTGAGAGCACAGGACGGGCCTGGGGGGCATGGCATTCTGGGTCTCAGTTTTCTCTTGGGCAAAATGGGCCAGATACTTCCCATCTCAACGGACAAGAACAAGTGAAAGGACCCTGTGAAAATGTTCATCATGAGCTTTCTAAAAGCTCAGAAAGTTGACACAGTATTATTATTTTGCCTTCTCTAGTGAAAGCCTGAGAACCAATCCTAGTAAAAGGAATCTCATTTAAGAGACCTAAATATCTGCAGTGAGTATAACAGGCACCCTGGAGCCTATAGATAGAAAATGCAACAGACTAAGAGAAGCCAGGCCCTGAGAAAGGGCTGGGAGGCCCACAAGGCAGCGACGGGCCGGACCACTGGACAGACATTCCTGGGAGCAGAAGCCTGGATTTGCAACTGGGGTCAGAGTGAAAGCGGGTGTGAGCAGGGCAGAAAAGTGGTCAGATGTATACCACAGACAGGTCATCTAGAGGCTGGGGGGACATGATGGTAGAACACACAAATTAGGGGAGCGGGGGTAACCCAGAGGAAACAGTCATCAAAGGCCAGAGGCTGAGGGATGGGGACTGAACCTGACGGATGCAGCCTGGATGGGAGAAGAGCAGACATCAGAGATGATCAGGAGGAAAAGGCAGTGGGACTGGTGATCAGATTTGGGAGAGGAGGAGAAGGAAGTATCTAGGGTGTGAGCCAGAGCTCTGTGCCCTCCCGAGTTAGGGACCACAGAGGCAAGGGCAGGGTGAGGCAGAAACGGCAACATTTGCAGTCGCAGAAAACTCCAGCCAGCAGTGCCTTTTATCAACTGCTGCACTCTTCCGGAACACTCACCTGTGAAAGTCGTTCTACCTCCACTGCTGAGCTCATCTAAACGCTCACATCGACCCTCTGGGGTAGACCCTGCAATAGTTAACGCTCACATCGACCCTCTGGGGTAGACCCTGCAATAGGTACAGATCAGAAACGACCTGCCCTAGGTCTCAGAGCTCTTGGGATGCCGAAGGGGATAAACCCGGCCGCCTGCAAGATCCAAGCTCTCAGCCACAAACCACAGCGCTTTCCCCACCTTTCCAGGGAGTTTTCCGGCCACAAGCGGGATCCACCAAGGTTGCATCTTACTCAGATCCCGCCTTCCCTTTCGGGTAATTTCCCCAACCCAAAGGGGCCTCCCCCCCCGCCCCCCCCCCCCCCCCCCCAGGCGCTTAGGTGAAAACAAATCTCCGGAGTCAGACCCGAGACTGGGGGCGGGCCCTCCTTACCTGGGCGGTCCGCTCAGGCTCCGCCCCGGGAGCCGTGGAGGGGTCCCTCAGAGGCTGCGGGCCCAGGGTGTGCTGGCGGGGACCAGTGCCCTCGGGGAGCCGGCCTAGGTTCCCGGATTCCGAGGGCAGCGCCAGGGCAGCGGCCAGCAGGCTCCCGGCCAGCACCCACGTGGCGCGCCCCGGGCCCCTCGCGGAATCCATCGCCCTCCTGGAACCCGCGACCCCACAAGTGGCGGGTGCCGGCGGAGTTGGGGCAGCTTCCGGACCCCAGGCCCTGCCCCTCTGCCGCCGAGCATGCTCAGTGCGAGCCTCCGCGGAAAGTTTTCTGGGAACAAGACACTGGCATCTGGGGCTTGGCGGGCCAGCAGGAGGCCGTGGACCAAGCGCGAGACGGAGGGAAGAAGAGAGGGAGCCAGGCGAGGCCTGCGAGAAGTGGCCCCTCTTGGGTTTGTTCGTGCTACACCCGGGGGCTCTACCAAAATCAGATCGAGTGACTCCTGCTCCGAGAAAGCTGAGAGGCCCCAAGTGCTCCTCTGTTAATGCCTACCCCGTTCTCTAAATCTCAGCTCAGGCCCATCTTCTCCGGCAAGCCTTCCCTGATACACAGTGGACGGAATCCCGAGTCTACGCAGGCGCAGCAGGCCCCCTTCTTCCCCCTCTCCCCCTCACCCCATTAGCGAACTGAGAAGCTTTTGGAGAAGGAGAACCATGGGGGTACAGGACGGCAAGGAGAGGGGCTGGAAGGGAAATTGGCAGCTCGTGGCCATCGGGCAAGGCCAGTTCTCGTATCCTTTTAGGTTCAGTTCAACCCTGTCTGTTCCCACTGCCTGAGCCCTCGTTGTGGATGAGACCTTGGACCAGCTCAAGAGCCCATTCCCACATTTCATGATGGGCAGATAGTCAGGCTGTGGAGGGATGTCCTACCTACACGGCTTTTCATTAGAATCCAGCTTGGCTAAGAGATGCCTGTGTATACATGGGAGGATCCTGATATACACCAAATATCAATTTGACTGGGAACCAGGCAAATCATAATGATTGGCCAAAGGAAAACCCAAAGAAATGTCCCATATAAGTGACTTAAACTGCCACGCGGGCACAACTCAGGGACTCTCCATCTGATCTGCCCGTGTGTTTATCCTCAGGCGTTGTAGTCTTTCTCTTCCTATACTTGACTTGCTTCACTACTTTCTGTCTTTGTGGAGATTCTTTTTTGCAAAGCCAAAGGGCCAGATCCCTTGTCACTGACTACCGGTCCAGTGGCTAGGATCCAGCGCTTTCACTGCCACGACCCAGTCCAATTTCTGGCTGAGGACCCAAGCCCTGCTGCTCCAAGCCATTGCAGGGGCAGGCCAGACACTGGGGACCTGCCTCTCTGGGGACCCCAAGAGGGGAGCTGGTGTCTGGAGCCAGGAGTCAGCAGCTGAAGAATCTCCCAGAACTCTGCAGGGGGCAGGGGGCAGGGCTGTTACTCCCCTGGGCCCTCAGGGACAGCTCACACCTCTTCAGTCTCCTGCTATCTGCAGTCTCAGGCCAGGAAGTCTGGTGCCTGTAGCCCCCTTCTCCTACTCCTCCAATAGGCCTTTCCTGACTTCACAGGGACAGGACAGTGGGGTTTGGGAACCTGAGAATTTATTAGCCAAGCTTTTCACATGGGGTTCACTGCCCTCAGTGGTACCCAGCATGTGCCAGGAGTGAGAAGGCCAAAGGCTAAATGCTGGAGCATTAATTCTTTTAGAGATTTAAAGGATGATTTCTACCTTCAAACAATTGTATAATAAAGTAAAATGCAAACAACACTATTGTTACTGAGTCCAAGCTCCCTCTGCTCACCAACAGGACAATGAATCTGAGACACAAGGTGTTGAGGCAAGGAAGACGACTATTTGGAAAGCCAGCTGATAGAGAAGACGACAGGTTAGTGTCCAAAAATAACCATCTTATCAGGGCCTGGTTGTCTTTTATGGATCAGAGATGGGAGGGAGGTGAGGAAACAAAGTAAAAAGACTATTCAATCCTTGCAAATTCCCCTAGAATGGCAAGCCTTGGCAGGGGGATGTGTTAGTTTCACTTCCTTGCAGTCCTTCACAGATATGCAGCTCAGGTTATCTCCCTGAAGCAGGCCATCATGTATGTTTATCATAACAAAAAAAGGCTAGAGTCACAGAAGCAGATACAGTATAAATTTAAAATTAGCCCTTCCTGATTACACTTTATTTTAAACTTTTTATTTTGTATTGGGATACAGCCAATTAACAAACAATGCTGTAACAGTTTCAGGTGAACAGAGAAGGGACCCCGTCATACGTACACAGTTATCCATTCTCCCCCAAATTCCCCTCCCATCCAGGCCACCCCATTACAATGAGCAGAGTTTCATGTGTCATACAGTAGGTCCTTGTTGGCTATCCATTTTAAACATAGCAGTGAAAGAACACTATTTTTAAAAATAAAAGCCTGAGTATCCAAAGAAATAGCCAGCATAAAGCAAGAGCTTCTGGTTTTTGCCCTCAGACATGTTCCCAAGAGTCTTGGACATGCTCCTAGGGAAACGTTTAAGAAGCGCCGTGTGGCAGAGAGCGTGAGTCCTGAAGGCGGACAGACGCAGGTGTGACTCTATGTGCCCCGTTTCCTATTGCAAGACCTTGAAAGAGCCATGACTCCGGTCCAGCTGTCAGTTTCTTCATTTATCAAAAGCAAATCTACATAGTAGTTCCCATCTTGCCAGCTTGGAAGGAGTGAAGAGAAAATAATGGGAAAACCCAGAAACTTGAGCTGGAAGTCCAGGTGAAGGACTTGAAACCCCTCTCTATTGAAACAGATCCCTTTGTTACCTCTGCTCTGGCCCTCATAGGGAATTAAGCTCCAAAGGCTAGAAGTGTGTGTCTCTGTGTGTGTGTGGTGTGTGTACCCTAACAGTCAGATTAAGGTCCGAAAGGTAGGGGTGTGTGTGTGTGAGTGACTGAGTATGTGTGTGTGTGTGTATGTGTACCCTAGAAGTCAGATTAAACTCCAAACGGTACGGGTGTGTGTGTGTGTGTGTGTGCATGTGTGTATGTGTACCCTGGCAGATTAAATTCCAAAGGGTAGGGGTGTGTGTCTGTGTGTGTCTGTGTGTGTGTGTGTGTGTGTACCCTAGCAGTCAGATTAAGCTCAAAAAGGTAGAGGTGTGTGTGTGTGTATGTGTGCCCTAGAAGTCAGATTAAACTCCAAAGGGTAGGGATGTGTGTGTGTGTGCCCTAGCAATCAGATTAAACTCCAAAGGGTAGGGGTGTGTGTGTGGGTGTGGGTGTGTGTGTGTTTGTGTACACCAGCAGCCAGAATGAGAGCTAGCATCGGTAAATGTTGCTTAAAGAAAGAAAAGATGCTGAACTCATCTGCCTATCTTCCTGCGAGATCCTCACTGCTGGACCTTGTCTGGTTGATGGCTGGCCTGGTGCTGGTTCAGACAGTAGGGTCTCTGGATAGGCTGAGTGAATCAGTGACCACGTGGCATCTCTGTGGCTAGCCAGGGCTGGATGTAAGCATCTCCCTATAGGTTATCTTAGAGCAAAGCATCGACCATCTCCGAAGAAACTAGCAGTAAACAGGAGTCTTCAGGCAAACAAGTTCAGAGGCAGGGCCGGACTGTGCGACCCAAGGATGGCCAACTTAGAGGTCTGGGGCAGGGCTGAGTCAGACCAGCAATGAATCACTCACCGCGGACCCTGATCCTCGCCAGGAGCGGGGGGCGCGTGTAGTAACGCCCATCTCAGAAGGCTAGTAAGAAAGTTACTTGGATCATCAAGCTAAAGGCTTAACAAATTCTAAGCACTCGATAAACTTAACTCGAGCAACACACTCCTCGGGTGAGGACCTAGCCGAGGTCCTCTACCCAGCTGGAAATCAGAGCCCTCTGCAAAACAAGACTCCTCCCCAAAGGTTCTGCTGGCTGAGAAGCGCGCCTCTGGCCGGGCATGCTCAGTGCAAAAGGCAGGGCCGGAGGCGGGGGTGGCTCAAAGTTTGGAGCAGAAGATCCAGGCTCCTCCCTCCGGCTGGGCAGCTCCGGAAAGCAAGAGAGAAGCGGGAGGAGGAGGCTACACAGGCCGGAGAAATCTACGGAGCTCACCGCGCCGCCCCCCTGGCCCCGCCGGGACCCAGAGTCCGGCGGCGGGGACCCGCAGGGATGGAGCGCCGGGCGGCGGGCCGGGGCAGCGCGCGGCGGCGGGCGGGAGGCGGCGGGCCGGCCGCCTGAGCGCCCTCGGATGGCCCGCGGCGAGACGACCTGCGGGAGCGACGCGCGGCTGCGGCTGGGCCGGGACGTGGTGCGGCCCGCGCCCGCTCTGCTGGTCCCCGCCGTGCTGCTGGGCACCGCGCTCGGCCTCGGCCTCGGCCTCTGGCTCGGCTGCCGCTCCGCGCGCCCGCGTTTCCGGCACCAGGTGGGTCGGCCGGGCGGGCGGCCGGGTGTGGGATGGGAGGGCGCGGTCACCCCTCGGCGCGGGGGTCCAGGCTTCGCCTTGAGCCTGATCACGGGCATCGCGCGCGCGACGGGTCCTGCCCTGGGGACGGGTGTTCCCCTTCTACTCTGGGAGGCGGCTCGAGACAGTAACTGCAGTGGGAGGCGGCCAAGTGACAGACGGGCTTTGGCTTGGGATTCCCCGGAAGGGTCCGCCCCATCTAACAACTGCCTGTGACCTTAGCCAATGAGGTCGCCAGGCCGCGGTCTCCTCTGCAGCATCAAGGATTTGGACTGATGGTCTGGGTTCACCGTGGTGGGCTGGAGGGCAGGGAATTCCCTCGCCTCCCCGAGTCCCTCCAACTGCCTGTCGATTCTGCTTCCTTTCTGTGTGGATCCCCCTGCTAGCCCCCCTGGAGTGCGGGCTGCTACATCAGCATGCACTCATCATTCCACACAGAAGTTTGCTGAGCACCTTCTACTGCTAGACACGGCTAGGGGACAGCAGTGTGCTCCTGTCTCTGGAGGAAGATGGAGTTGGACAGATTACTAGTAAACGTTTGATTGTAACACAGCCAGATGAATTCTGTAATGGGGAAGTGGAAACACTAGCATTTACTGAATGCTCGCTATATGCTGGATGCTGAGTCACACTCTGCACCTGAATTTTCATCTCATTGAATTTCCAAAACAGCTTTGTGAGCTGGTTCCATTAATGTACCCATTTTGCAGATGAGAAAACTGAGGCACAGAGAGGTTAAATATCTTGTCAAATGACAGGCGTGTGTCTCACCCCAAAGCTACTGTATTGGGGGGGTGGGGTGGGTGGGATTTGTCACAGGTGGCTGCCTGAAGGGGATTAATGGATGCTTCATGTGGCAGTTGTCATTATGGAATCAGATGTTGTGTGGAGGTATCTGGCATACAGCAGTCATTCCATCAGTGGTGGAATGATCACTGTTTTAGGTCTTTGCGGCTCAGACCTCCTTGAGGGATGAAGTCTGGTCGGATCTGAGCTAAGGTGGTTTGGTCTTGTTCCCTCCATTTCTGGCCAGTGTGAACAGGGTATGCAGTCAGCAGATGTCAGCCAGGTGACTTCAGAGAAGTGTCCTGCTGCAAAGAGATGATAAAAGTTAAAATTAACATAATGCAAGTCTCGTGTAGGAAAGTCTGGGTTGTCAGATCCTGCTGCTAATTAAGAGACATGGGCTTCTTGTGTGAAGAGGGCAGTCACATGTCAGAGCCTTTCGTGGGTGCCAGGCCCCTTGTCAAGGGTTTGCGGCCGTTTCCTTCTCTAACCTCACTCCAGTGGAGGCTGTCATCCGTACTTTCCAGGTATGGACGCTGAGGCTCTGCAAGGTTGTTCTCTGTCCAGGGTCATGAAGAATGACGAGTGGGCTGGACTTTACCTGCAGTCTTTCTGAATGCCTAAGTCAGAACTTTTCATCATCTGCTACCTGGCGAGGCAGGAGTTAGTATCTGTCTTAGTCTGCTTGGATGTCTATAACAAAAATACCATCCACTTGGTAACTGATGAACACAAACATGTCTCAGAGTTCAGGAGGCTGGAGGTCCAAAATCAGGGTGCCAGGATGGTTGGATTCTGGCAAAGGTCCTCTTCCTGGTTATAGATGACTGATTTCTGCCTGAGTCCTCTCATGGCAGAAGGGGCAGTGGTTGGAGCCTCTTTTATCAGGGCACTAGTCCCATTCATGGAAGCACCATCCTTATGGTCTAATAGGTCCTTCCAAAGGTCCTGCCTCCAAATACCATCACCTTGGGGGGTAGAGTTTCAACATATTAATTGACACGAGGGGTAAGGGACACAAGCATTCAGACCATAGAGTCACCCACTTTGCAGCTAAGTTGAGGCTGACAGAGACTAACCAAGCTGTCTGGGTTTGCACATCTGGTCAGTCAGCTGTACTAGTCCAGTTGAGAGTGGCGGTGGGTCCGATCAGGTCTGTAGTCATGGAGGGTGTTCAGGGTCAAGGGTAGGACTGATGAGATTTTCTGATGGTTTGGATGTGACCTTTGCAGTATTCTTTTCTAAATGTCCTCCGTTTCCCACCTCTAGTCTCTATTTCTAAAGAGCACATCTAACAATATGACTTCTGGTTAAAAACCTCCAGTGGCTCCTGGCTGCCTACACAAGATCACATCCAGTTTCCTTGCATAGTGCAGAAAGTCACTGACCTTCCCTAGGGTATCCAGCATAGCACACAGGTGTCTGTGCATCCAGCCACCCAGAATCCCCTTGATCCCCAGAAACCTCTGCACTTCTGCACGTCTGTTCTCTGCCTCTTGTCCCACTCATTCTTTAGATTGTTGTTGTTCAGTTGATGAGTCGTGTCCAACGCTTCGCAACCCTGTGGACTGTGCACGCCAGGCTCCTCTGTCTTTAGCTATCTCCCAGAGCTTGCTCAAATTCATGTCCATTGAATTGGTGATGCTATCTAACCATCTCATCCTCTGCCGCCCTCTTTTTCTTTTGCCTTCCATCTTTCCTAGGATCAGGGTCTTTTCCAGTGAGTCGACTCTTCACATCAGGTGGCCAAAGTATTGGAGCTTAAGCTTCTGCATCAGTCCTTCCAATGAATATTCAATGTTGATTTCTTTTAGGATTGACTGGTTTGATTTCCTTGCAGTCCAAGGAAGCAACCTTTAGAAACCAGAGAAGAAACCATGTAGGCAACTGTTACAACCCTCAGGCTGGAGCAGGCACTTCCTCCCTCACGGGTCCTGGGCACTCTGTTCTCTGGTCCAGGTCACCCAGCTTATAATTCTATCTTGCACCACTTTCCCTTTGTGGTATCTGTTTTATTAGTTTTATTTATTTCATCATTAAAGCTTTGTTTGCATTGGAGTGACTAATGTGTCCACCCTTAGGTGTGCATGCCAACTCACTTCGGTCGTGTACAACTCTGCAACAGGCTCCTCTGTCCATAGGATTTCCCAGGCAAGAATACTGGAGTGTGTTGACATTTCCTTCTCCAGGGGATCTTCCCAACCCAGGGATTGAACCCAGCTCTCTTACATCTCCTGCTTTGGCAGGCAGGTTCTTTACCACTAACAACTCATGCACATAATTTAAAAATGTTCCTTGGCAACCATTTCTCACTTCTCTGAAGCCATCTTGTTTGACTCTTGTTCAGCTGGCTGTTTTAGTCATTTAGTTCCCATATCTAAATTACCTGCTGGTGCGGCTGCTTGACGTCCCGCTGGGGAAGTGAGGAGTGATTAATTAATAGCTCTCTTTTCTCCCCCTCTCTTCATAGCTACACCCTCCCCACCCACCATCACCACCTCCCTGTGTGGTTATGGAGTACTTTTAGTTAAATCAGCATTTGGTGTTTTTGTTATTGCAATTTTGTAAACATAATTCGCTGTCAGCCAAGGATCTGCCGTGATTATGAATACTTTCCTTTTCTGCACAAGATTTTGTTTTCCCTGAAATTAATAATTACCCATTTTTTCATTTCCTTAAATTCTAAGTACATGTCATTGATTTAACAATAAACTCTCTCCCATTTATCTCCATTTCCTTTCAAGATATTTGAATACATTAGGTATTTGATCAACTTCCTCTTTTAGAAAAACTTGTCTCCCAGAAAACTTCTGAACTCTTCCGTCTGAGCTGGTTGCCTCCAGACTGTTGCTACTCTCAAAGTGAACCAGACCAGCAGCATCAGCATTATCGGGAACTTGTTAGGAATGCCAGTTCTTGGACTCCGCCCCAGACGCACTGATGAGAATCTCTAGAGGCGGGTCCAGTGAGATGTATTTGACAAGCCCTCCCATGATCCATTTGGCTTTTTTAAGTCATCCAATGACAGTATTAGAAATAACAAGAATATTAATATTTATGTGTCATTTTCCATGTTAAGCTGTTGTGTGTGTAGGCATAATATTAATATGCTTGTTATCTCCAATACTGTCATTGGGTGATTTTTAAGAAAATACCTTCAGTTCAGTTCAGTTCAGTCGCTCAGTCGTGTCTGACTCTGCCACCCCATGAACTACAGCACGCCAGGCCTCCCTGTTCATCACCAGCTCCCGGAGTCCACCCAAACCCATGTCCATTGAGTCAGTGATGCCATCCAACCATCACATCCTCTGTCGTCCTCTTCTACCCTCAATCTTTCCCAGCATCAGGATCTTTTCCAGTGAGTCAGCTGTTCACATCAGGTAGCCAAAGTACTGGAGTTTCAGCTTCAACATCAGTCCTTCCAATGAACACCCAGGACTGATCTCCTTTAGGATGGACTGGTTGGATCTCCTTGCAGTCCAAAGGGCTCTCAAGAGTCTTCTCCAACACCACAGTTCAAGAGCATCAATTTTTCAGCGCTCAGCTTTCTTTATAGACCAACCCTCACATCCATACACGACTACTGGAAAAACCATAGCCTTGACTAGACGGACCTTTGTTGGCAAAGTAATGTCTCTGTTTTTTAATATGCTGTCTAGGTTGGTCATAACTTTCCTTCCAAGGAGTGAGCGTCTTTTAATTTCATGACTGCAGTCACCATCTGCAGTGATTTTGGAACCCAGAAAAATAAATTTAGCCAGTGTTTCCACTGTTTCCCCATCTATGTGCCATGAAGTGATGGGACCAGATCCCATGATCTTACTTTTCTGAATGTTGAGCTTTAAGCCAACTTTTTCACTCTCCCCTTTCACTTTCATCAAGAGGCTCTCTAGTTCTTCTTCACTTTCTGCCATAAGGGTGGTGTCATCTGCATATCAGAGGTTATTGATATTTCTCCCAGCAATGTTGATTCCAGCTTGTGCTTTATCCAGCCCAGCGTTTCTCATGATGTACTCTGCATATAAGTTAAATAAGTAGGGTGATAATATACAGCCTTGATGTACTCCTTTTCCTATTTGGAACCAGTATGTTGTTCCATGTTCAGTTCTAACTGTTGCTTCCTGACCTGCATATAGATTTCTCAAGAGGCAGGTCAGGTGATCTGGTATTTCCATCTCTTGAAGAATTTTCCAGTTTATTGTGATCCCCACAGTCAAAGGCTTTGGCATAGTCAATAAAGCAAAACAGATGTTTTCCTGGAACTCTCTTGCTTTTTCGATGATCTAGTGGATGTTGTCAATTTGATCTCTGGTTCCTCTGCCTTCTCTAAAACCAGTTTGAACACCTGAAAGTTCACGGTTCACGTATTGCTGAAGCCTGGCTTGGAGAATTTTAAGCATCACTTTACTAGCGTGTGAAAATACCTTAGGAAGGGTTTCTATTGTGAACTAGTTGATCCTCATTATTTGTGGATTTGGTGTTTTCACATTTGCCTGCTTACTAAAATTTATTTTATAATCCCCCAAATGGCCACTTGGGGTGCTTTTGAGGTCCTTCCTGGATAGGAGCAGAAAGGAGAAACATATGATTTGCCTGGCATGCAGTTTCCAAATGAGATTGAACAAGGAAGGCCACACTCTGCTTCCTTGTGTCAGCTCATACTGCCAACAAGTGTCCTTTCCACGTTCTCTTTAGTGCTATGCTTTTTTCTCATCTTTGTGTTTTTTGTTGGTGATTCTATTGTTGAAAATGAAGTGTATTTATTTTTGTGTATGGTGTTAGAAAGTGTTCTAGTTTCATTCTTTTACAGGTGGTTGACCAGTTTTCCCAGCACCACTTGTTAAAGAGGTTGTCTTTTTTCCATTGTATATCCTTGCCTCCTTTGTCGAAGATAAGGTGACCATAGGTTCGTGGATTTATCTCTGGGCTTTCTATTCTGTTCCATTGATCTATATTTCTGTCTTTGTGCCAGTACCATACTGTCTTGATGACGGTGGCTTTGTAGTATAGTCTGAAGTCAGGCAGATTGATTCCTCCAGTTCCATTCTTCTTTCTCAGGATTACTTTGGCTATTCGAGGTTTTTTGTATTTCCATACAAATTGTGAAATTATTCGTTCTAGTTCTGTGAAAAATACCGTTGGTAGTTTGATAGGGATTGCATTGAATCTATAGATTGCTTTGGGTAGTATAGCCATTTTGACAGTATTGATTATTCCAATCCATGAACACGGTATATTTCTCCATCTGTTTGTGTCCTCTTTGATTTCTTTCATCAGTGTTTTATAGTTTTCTATGTATAGGTCTTTTGTTTCTTTAGGTAGATATACTCCTAAGTATTTTATTCTTTTTGTTGCAATGGTGAATGGTATTGTTTCCTTAATTTCTCTTTCTGTTTCATCATTGTTAGTGTATAGGAATGCAAGAGATTTCTGTGTGTTAATTTTATATCCTGCAACTTTACTGTATTCGTTGATTATCTCTAGTAATTTTCTGGTAGAGTCTTTAGGATTTTCTATGTAGAGGATCATGTCATCTGCAAACAGAGAGAGTTTCACTTCTTCTTTTCCTATCTGGATTCCTTTTGCTTTTTTTTCTGCCCTGATTGCTGTGGCCAACACTTCCAAAACTATGTTGAATAGTAGTGGTGAGAGTGGGCACCCTTGTCTTGTTCCTGATTTCAGGGGAAATGCTTTCAATTTTTCACCATTGAGGGTGATGCTTGCTGTGGGCTTGTCATATATAGCTTTTATTATGTTGAGGTATATTCCTTCTATTCCTGCTTTCTGGAGACTTTTAATCATAAATGGATGTTGAATTTTGTCAAAGGCTTTTTCTGCATCTATTGAGATAATCATATGGTTTTTATCTTTCAATTTGTTAATGTGGTGTATTACATTGATTGATTTGCGGATATTAAAGAATCCTTGCATTCTTGGGATAAAGCCCACTGCACCCCAATGTTCATCGCAGCACTGTTTATAATAGCCAGGACATGGAAGCAACCTAGATGCCCATCAGCAGACCAATGGATGAGGAAGCTGTGGTACATATACACCATGGAATATTACTCAGCCATTAAAAAGAATTCATTTGAATCAGTTCTAATGAGATGGATGAAACTGGAGCCCATTATACAGAGCGAAGTAAGCCAGAAAGATAAAGACCATTACAGTATACTAACACATATATATGGAATTTAGAAAGATGGTAACGACAACCCTATATGCAAAACAGAAAAAGAGACTCCGATGTATAGAACAGACCTGTGGACTCTGGGAGAAGGCGAGGGTGGGATGTTTCAAGAGAACAGCATTGAAACACGTATATTATCTAGGGTGAAACAGATCACCAGCCCAGGTTGGGTGCATGAGACAAGTGCTCGGGCCTGGTGCAGTGGGAAGACCCAGAGGGATCGGGTGGAGAGGAAGGTGGGAGGGGGGACCGGGATGGGGAATACATGTAAATCCATGGCTAATTCATCTCAATGTATGACAAAAACCACTGCAATGATGTAAAGTAATTAGCCTCCAACTAATAAAAATAAATGAAAAAAAAAAAATAAAAAAATAAAAAAAAAAGAAAATGAAGTGTAACGCTGAAGTGCTGTCTAGTGTTTCTAAGGACAAGAAGGTTGTGCTGTGCCTTATGGAGAAAATGCATGTGTTAGATAAGCTTTGTCCAGGCACGAGTTACAGTGCTGTTGGCTGTGAGTTCAAGGTTAATGAATCAGCAGTATGTTAAATCAGGCATCTTTAGACAGAGACACACATAAAAAAAAAAAGTTATTTATTGATTAGCTAATGAAAATATTTTCCAGTAGTCATGTATCAATGTGAGAGTTGGACCATAAAGAAAGCTGAGCGCTGAAGAACTGATGCTTTTGAACTGTGGTGTTGGAGAAGACTCTTGAGAGTCCTTTGGACTGCAAGGAGATCCAACCAGTCCATCCTAAAGGAGATCAGTCCTGGATGTTCATTGGAAGGACTGATGCTAAAGCTGCAACTCCAATACTTTGGCCATCTGATGCAAAGAACTGACTCATTGGAAAAGACCCTGATGCTGGGAAAGATTGAGGGCAGGAGGAGAAGGGGACAACAGAGGATGAGATGGTTGGATGGCATTACTGACTTGATGGACATGAGTTTGAGCAAGCTCTGGGAGTTGGTGATGGACAGGGAAGCCAGGCCTGCTGCAGCCCGTGAGGTTGCAAAGAGTTGGATACAACTGAACGACTGAACTGAACTGAACTGAACACAGATGTTGTGACCAGAATCCCTGATAAGCTGTTACCCCACCACAAGGAGCTCATAGGCTACTGGGGTGGCAGTGGCGGTGGTGACCAGCTCAGAAGCACATGGAATGAGCCTCGATCCAAGTATCGCTTCCAGGCCTGAGGACACTGAGATGGGGTGATGGGGCATTGTCAGGAAGGTGACACCTGGCCAGCCTTGAAGGATGTGGAGCTGATTTCCAGGGGGCGTGGAGGGGAGCACTGCACACAGGGCCAGGTGGTGGAGGAGGGGCAGAGACAGGAGACATGACAGCTGGGCTGTGGGGGGTTGATGGCTACTGCAGGGCACCAGGCTGACCGACTCGGACATGCTCTCCCATTCACCTCCACCTTTGGGTTTTAGAAAGACGACACTCAGAGTCTGCTCAGGAATTTGGAGTCTAACATCCAGACCCCGTCGGCAGCTGGGTCCCCATCCAGGAGGAGGAAGAGAGAAGCACTGACTTCAAAGGATGAGGAGCCTCTGGACGTAAGTGGGGTGTTGGGGGTGCATTGGAGGAGGCTCACATTGGATGTCCTTTGTCCAGGACACAGGTTATCCAGATGAGCCCCCACAGACCTCCTGTACCACTAGGCTTCTCTTGGAGGTATAACTTACACACCAGAAACACACAGATTTTCAGCTTACAGTTTAATGAGTGACAAGTGCATACACTCCTGTCACTGAGACCCCAATCAGGAATGTCCCTTTATTCCAGAAAGTTCTTTAGTGCTCCCTGCACAGACAGCCACTGCTACGATTTCCGTTGCCATGATTGGTTTTGCTGCTCAGTCACATGCTTTCTCGCGCCTGCTGGTCTAGGTCATTGCTGCACTGATCGGTCATTTGCCCCTTTCAATTGCTCAGTCTGCTGTGGGGATGTGTCACCAAGTGTGAGTTGGTTTCCACGCCTGGTTATTCTGAACAAGACATCTGTGAGTGTGTATAAGTGTGTTTTCATTTTGCTTTATTTCTTCTGAGTAAATATCTAGGAGTGGGAGTTCTTTTCCTCTGATGGAAATGTTAAGAAATGGGTGTTCCCTATACCTTTCTTTTGGTCCCCTCCCCCCATACCCCCCACCCTGAGCCAGCCCATCGGGTATCACTTCATACGTGAGCTCCATGGATGAAGAGGGCATTTCTTCCAAAGAAAGAATGAGTGACTTCTAGTCACTTCCTAGTCCCTAGAAAGTACCACAGACTCCAGTCATCCAGCCTCAATTGCCAAAAGGTAAATATAGACATCTAGGTAAGGAGGGAGGGAAAGAGCGAGAAAGAAAGAGAGAAAGATGCTGGGAAAGGGGGAAAGATAGGACAAAGTTTCTTATTTAGCATCTACTGGATTCTAGGCATTTTTACACATGTCATTTTTGACTGATGTAAACCCTCATGTGAATTCTCTCATGCAATCCTTTCAGCACTCCATGATATAGACCTTGTTTATATGCCCATTTTCCAGATAGGGAAGCTGAGTCTTGTGGAGCCAGGTCACCGTCCTGAGCCTTGAAGCTGCTATTTGGACCTGGGGATGGTTCAACTCCTGTCTAGGCGGGCTGTGTCCCCGCACCCCCATGGTCCCTGACACTCAGTCGGGGACCTGAGTCTGCAGCCTCCGCTTACCAAAGGAGGAAAGTGGGCCGGGTGTTTTAAAACAAATTTCACCAAAAAGTTGCAAATCAATAGGGGAAGCTTCTGGATAAGCTGAAAATCCAGTTTTCGAGAGTCACACCCTGTCCGTACTTCCCAAGGGTTCTGAAGACAGGGCTTCTCCTCTCAGCCCTGGGCAGGACTCCACGGAGGGATCGGAAGCCCCAGAGCTGCAGAGGAAGAGAGAGCGCCTGGCTGTTCCCAGAGATGAGTCCGCCTTTCCTCGTCTGTGCTGTGTGTCTCCAGCTGACTTGCTCAGCCTCTCTGTTTCCAGGTGCTTGCCTCTCCCAGTGTGTCTGTCTGTGTGCGTATCATTGCATCTACCTGCATGTCCATCTCTCTCTTTTTGTGTCTCCATGTGTCTCTGTGTGACAGTGTGGCTGTGGAATGTCTCTCTGTCTTAGTTTCTCTCTCTCCCTCATCTGTTTCTCTCACTCCCTCTGATCCCCTCACCACGTAGGATTAAAACTCTGCTGACAGAAATGAAAACAAATATCCACGAGAAGACCTGTGGGCAAATATTCCTGACAGCCCTATTCACAGTAGCCCAAACTTGGAAACTCCAAATGTCCATCAGCTGATGAACAAATAATCAGAATATGGTTGCTCTATACAATGAAATACTGTTCAGTCATAAAAACAACATGGATGAACCTTAAAAATAGAACGCTAACTGAAAGAAACTGGTCACAAAAGACCACATGTCATAAGATTCCAAGCATCTGAAATGTCTGGAACACGTAAACTTAAAGAGACCAAGAGCAGATTGGTAGGGGTAGGGACGGGGGTGGGAGGGGTAGGGGGACAGCTAAAGGGTGCAGGTACATTTTCAGGTACAAAATGACAAAAGTGTTCCAAAACTGACTGTAGCAAGGATTGCATGTATCTGTTAATACACCAAAAAGCATTAGATTGTACAGTTTACATGGTTCAGTTGCATGAATGACATCCCAATAAACCTATTTGAAAAAAACTCTTTTCACACGGAAGACGACCTCAGATATGATGCAAAAAACACTGGCTTTTGGATCCAGAATCCTGGAACCCAGGCCCAGCTCTGCCACCTGTGTGCTGTGTGCTATTGGGCAAGTGACACAACTCTCTGAGCCTTAGGGTTCTGAGCTTTGCGATGACAGTAGTGATGGCGGCCCCATAGGGTCACCCATGAATCAACTCTGTAAATCCTTCTAGCACAGAATGAGTCAGTCTTTGCGGGGGAGCCCAGTCTCTCTGCCTCCCAGAAGGCTAACCCACTTCTTCCACCTAGTAATGTTTTACCCGTGAACTATTTAGCTGTGCCTCGCCGATGCCCATTATCTAGATAATGATTGCCAAGAGTTAAAGATCTGCCTGTTCCAGTGACCAGCTTTGCCAAAATACCCCTGTCTCCAGCAGGCTGAGCTTGTCAAGGAATGAGGGCAGGGCTGACTTTAACAGGGCGATGGGCTGTAACCCTGACACCCTCCAGTGCCCAGAAAACCAAGGCGTTTGGTGTCCATGTCACTTCTTGCATGAATTGTTTCGATGAATAGCTCACATTAGCCAAAAATACCCAGAAAATTCCAGAAGACTCTGAAGACTGCTGCTTCACAGCCTTGTCCTGTCCTTTGGCTTTGAAGAAGGGAGGGGTGGTGGGCACAGCTCCCCTCTGGATGCATCTGTGCATTTGCTGAGAAGAGTACCTTTTGTGGGCGAGTGAAATGGTTTTTCTTTTCTAACAATTATGTTTTAATTTTCTGAATAATTGCATTGCTTCAGCTGAAGAAGTTTTACATTGTAAACCTGCACTACAGCCTATTTTCTGAATAATTGTGTTGCCACGGTTGGGGAGATGATCAGAATTTAGAGGACATCGGAACTTAATAAGAAGAGCTGTGGGAAACTGCAAACAGCCCAGGCTCCCGGTCCTCAGGTTCCACTTCTGCACATCTCAGGTGGACCCCTGCGTCTACATCCTTTGCTTCTCATATTATGTTTTTCCCTGAAGTGCAGTATATGTTTGGTGTCACCCCTTTAGAAGATGAACCCTGGAAAGCAGAGAACAATCCTTCCTCGCATTTTCCACCCCCTTCCATTCTGTCCTTTCTCTCCACCTCTGTTTGGAAGAAGTGTAAAAACGCAGAGTGCCCTTTCTGTTTCTCATCTTTCCTTGAAGAAGTGTGTCTTCCCCGGATCATCTCCGAGGCTAGCTTCATAGGTGGATGACCTCCCGTGTGGTCACTGAGACCCTCTGCCCAGTTACCCCCTCCCTGTTTCTGGACTTTGCTGTCTTGAAATTCTTAATCACTTTTGACTAAGGACCCCTCCCACACACACGCACCCCAGTGCCTATTTTCACTTTGCACTGGGCCTCACAAAGTATGTCACCAGTTGTGAAGTCAGCCTTTTTGGTCTTATTGCCACACTCTTGTACCATTTTCCCAGCAAAGATTCAAGAGAGAGTGACTGATGGGCTGCTGTGGACTGGGGGCAGCTATTCTGTATTCACTCAGATCCAAGGAAAGCCAGGAAGCGAGGGGAGTTGTATGGTTAAAAGCTTATTTGAGGGACTTCCCTGGTGGTTCAGTGGTTAAGAATATGCTTTCCAATGCAGGGGACACAGGTTCAATCCCTGGTCAGGCAACTAAGATTCCACATGCTGCAGGGCAACTAAACTTGAGTGCTCTAACTAGAGAAAGCTCGCATGCATGCTGCAACAAAGAGTCTGTGCAGCCAAAAATTAAAAAAAAAAAGAAAAGAGCAGTCATTGTTTTAAAAAAGGTTATTTGATTGCTTCGGGGAGACTGGATTGGAAAGTGTCCACCTCTGGGCCTTGCTTTACCTCTCTATAAAATGGGCATGATCATGATTGAGTGATAATGAAATGAGCAGACATGCATCAAATGGTAGCACATAGTAGGTCCTTGGTGCATGCATAGGGAGTCAGGTAAGAGGCTGTTTCAGCCCAGTGGGGTAAGTACGATGATGGCTTGGGTCTGAATTGTGGCCCTAGAGAGAGGCTTGGAAGGTTAGCTTGGTGGGATTCATGGTTGATTGGATGTGGCAGGTGTGGGAGCGACCAGTACCTCAGGGTCTGACTTGTGTCCCTGGGGTGTGGTGAGGCTGACCTGGGGGCTTCTCCTCTGAACTCCCACTGACCTTGCAGTTGCGTGGCTCTTCCTCTTGGTCTCACTTCTGTCACGTGGAAGGAGACAGGATGGTGGCAGCTGAAGAGGAGAGCTAGGGAATCTGAGTTCAAGTCCCAATCCGGACATTTAATAGCTATGTGACCTTGGGTGCACAGCTCAACTTCTCTGTGCCATCTTCTCCATCTGGGAAATAGCAGCATCCTTGGAAGTTTAAGGAGGTGGCGCATGTTGGTGGACGCCCCCCATTCTTGTCATCTAAGTCTGTTTTTGTAAGCAGTGGTAAAGAAACTGCCGGCCAGTGCAGGTAGACATAAAGACCTGGGTTTGATCCCTGAGTCAGGAAGATCCCATGGAGGAGGGCATGGCAACCCCCTCCAGTATTCTGTCCTGGAGAATCCCATGCACAGAGGAGCCTGGTGGACTGCAGTCCATGGGGTCGCAAAGAGTCAGAGACGACTGAAGTGACTTAGCACACACGCAAGGTAGAGACAGACATGACAAGACCTGGGGCCCTGCCACAGAGCTTCCTTCTGTCCCGCTCAGCAGGGCATTGTGGCGAATCCTCTCTGAAGACGGGTACAAACCACATCACAGGCTCTGCTGAGTGCTGTTTCAGTGTCTCACGTTGTGAGGAAGCGGTAAGTTCTTCTGCATTCCCCGTGATAGGGTATGTGGTTCCAAGGAGAACGCGGCAATTGGCAATCAGTCCTTTGTTATGGAGTTCTTTTTTTTAAAGATTTAGTAGAAAGGTGTTGGCATCTGGTTCAGAGTTGCTCAGTTGAGATTCCTCCCGGCCTGGAGGGCCAGGCTCCTGACTGTCTGCTTGACTTCATTCACCCACTGGATGTGTCCAATCCCTTATTCAGCACTGACCATGCAAAGCACAGGGGTGATCCTAACAGGAGAATGATGCAGAGAGGATGTGGGGCCGTAGAGCAGGCTACAAGTCAGTCTGTCCAGCTGTGTCAGGGAGATGGTTCCTGAGCAGAGGTTGATGGCAGCTCTTTAGTACTGAGACTCACAGTGGTCCATCGCCTCGCTTGGGCTCTGTTCCAGCATCTCCACTGGGACTTTGTCCGCATCCATGCCATCCCTGGAGGAGATAGGCTACCTGCTTCCTGTCTGGGAAGTTGGAGGCTCAGAAGAGTGAAAAGATCTGCCCAAGCACTTCTTTTCATTCTACGGTCCAATCCAAAGCCTTGCATGAATATTACCACACATAAGTTTTTATACACTTGGTAGTGCTAAAAATATTTCTTTTCTTATTCCACAAAAAGGTGACTCACAACTTTTAGGAAAACTTCTGATGTTGTCATGTTATTTAAATCTTTATTTCTTCCAAAGCTGAAGACTTGGAATTAAAAGAAGAATGTGCTTTGTAACATCTGTCCATTCATCCCTTCGCCCATCTGTACCTCTGTTATTCCCACATCCATCTATACTCCCATCTATCCATCCATCCCTCCACCTGCCCCATCCATGTGTCCATCTGTCCATACATTAGTGTATCCCTCTATCCATCCATCCATCTACCTGCCACATCCATTTGTCTGTCTATCCATCCATCCATCCTCCTAGCAAGTGAGCATTACTTGGTTCTAAATGTGCTTATTATGGTCCCTTCCCAGGGCCACTGTTACCAACAGGATGTGGCACTTTGGAAACTCGGTGGTTTGTCCTTCATTTCACCAAAAGCCTCCCCATGCCATTTATTCTTTCTTTTTCCCAGGAATACGAGCCGTCTTTCAACAGCAACATCACAGCGTTTGCGCTGAAGGCGAAAGTCGTCTATCCCATTAATCAGAAGTTCAGGGTAAGTGTCCTGAGCTGTCTTAGAAATGCAATTTACCAGTAATGTGCGGGAGATTGGGGTAGGAGGGCAGAGACGCAAATGTGCAATTTGGGGTCCTATTTGAGGATTTTATGGCAAGCCATTTTAATAGGGATAATTTTGTGGCTTTGTAATGGAGCATGACTTTAGGGTGAATCCATTTCATGACGGTGTTATCAGGGGCAGGGTATGCCCACAGGGGAGCAAGGTATTCTCGTGATGCCAGGCGACAGCACAGTAGGGCAAAATCCACTCTCCTCTTTCAACACTGACACAAATACTGATGCTGATACAAGTTACTAACATTACTCCTCATTCAGAGAGCCCAGGACTCATGTCAGCAGTTGACACTTAACTGAACACTTACTGTGGGGTCAGCATAATGCTCAGCATCTGTCATACATTAGGCGTTTCAATGGTGCCCGCCACGTTCCTGTAAAGTAAATAATACCGTTATCGCCACTTGATGCACAAGGAAACTAAGGCCCAGAGAAGCTAATGACCTGTCCAGGGTCATGCTACAGAAAGTGGTAGGGCCAGAGTCGTACCCACAGGTCTTACCTGTGGAGCCAGGAGTTCACACCTGGGGCCAGGCATTTTGCAGAGGGCAGCATAATTCCTAATGCTTCAGGGAGCCCTCGGCCTAGGAGATGCTCCATGAAAGAAGGAGTTTCCTGGTCGAGTAAGTTGAGGAAAGGATGGCCTGCTGTCCTAGTGATAAACAGGACAGGCTTGAACCTAGCTCCCAGCTCAGCTGTTTACTCCTAACCATTTCCTGACTTCTCAGGGCCTCAGTTTCTTCATCAGTTAAATGGGGATAAAGGGCCCTCCTGCCTCACCTGGTTGTCTTGAGGGTTAGATGGGATATTAGGCATAGGACTTAGAACAGTTTATGATGTCCATACACTCAGTACACATTCAGTTTTTTAAATTATTATTTGCTTTTGAGGACAGCAGAGCGTAGAAAAGCTCTGAGAATTCCTGCACCAAATAAATGATTCCAGGGACCTCCTTGGCGGTCCAGTGGTTAAAACTCCATGCTCCCGACAAGGGACATGGGTTCGATCCCTAATTGGGGAACTAAGACCCCACAAGGTGTGACACAGCCAGAAAGGGGAGAGAAATTATTCTATTTTGTTCACACAGACTTTCCTAAACTAATTTTTCTGTGGAACATTCACAGTGAGCAGTAACTGCTTATAGTTCATGGAACTGCTTCCTGGACACACACTGGGAACCACCTCCTTCACTATCTGGTGGGTGGGTGATGGCTTGAAACGCCCAGACTCAGGGCGTTTATTCATCATGAGTACCTGTGCTGGGCAGGCTCGGTGGTGGGCACTGCGGATTATCCAGTGGTCAGGAGGGCACTGTCCTCACCTGGAGGCCCTCCCAGCCCTGCAGATCTTGTAGGACAGTGTGTGATAGCAGGCAGGACAGAAATGACCCAGGACCTGTGGAATCCGGCCTGGGCTGGGCTCGGAGAGCAGGGAAGGAAGATGCAGGGGTCTGTGTCTGGAGGGAAGGAGGTTTCAGCTCCGCAGGCGGTGAGTGAGGGGAATTTGTGGCAGGGGAACCAGGGTCTGGAAAGGCCCAGAAGCATGGAACAACAGTGAGGGTTTGGAGCTGGCTGCCAGCTCAGTGCCCTCTGGGCACGCACCTCTGGGAGCAGCAGAATTGAGGCTGGACACATGGACGGCTGATGTTTGCTGAGCCCTCCAACTGTGCCAGGCACTAGGCTGTGTCCTTGTGTGGTCATGGCAGGGGGCAGGGGCTTGCGTTCCTTGATAAGGAAGGTGGGTTGACAGAGCAGGCCTGGGGTCTGAGAGCTGGCGGGGAGGAGCCTGGTGCAGAGGGGCTGGCCCCTGATGAGACAGGAGCTCTGATGCAGGTCCCTGGGGCTATGGCCACGCCCATAGGGTAGAAGCTGCAAAATCCACTCACAGCCTCCCCGTCCTCTGCCGCCTGGCCTTCCTGGGATCCACTGCATGTGTTGTGGGTAAATTACAGAAACGCACTGGTGATGAGTCATGTGGACTGAGGGCACTTTGTCTCCTGTCCCCCAGCCTCTGGCCGATGGTTCCTCCAACCCATCTCTCCATGAAACCTTAAAGCAGGCCGTCCTGCCGAACCAGCCGCTGGAGGCGTCCCCTTCCAGCAGCCTGGGGAGCCTGAGCCAGGCCGAGAAGGACGACTGCAGCTCCTCTTCCAGCGTCCACTCGGCCGCCAGCGACGACAGGTTCCTCGGTCGCAGCTTCCTCGGGGCGAGCAGCTTCCCCGAGGTGCTGACCTGTGAGAGGTGAGGAGGGGGCAGATGGAGGACTCAGACCGACAGGCCGTATCCTGGTCAGTGGAGGAAATGGAGGCCCAGAGTGACTAAGGACTCAGCCATGGACACACAGCGACCCGGTGTCAGAGCTGGAGCTGAATGTGTGGCGTTGGCTGGCAGAGGGATTAGGGAACCCAGCTTGGGTCCTGGGGAGAGACAGGAGGGCCTCGTCTAATCACTGACCTGCCTCATGCCCTGCATAGCAGCGGCCAGCACTGGTTAAGTGCCTCCTGTGTACAAAATTTTAAGCACTTTGCAGAGATTATCTTGTGAGCAAGAAGACCAGGTCTGTCTTATTCACAGCTGTGTCCTACCAGCCAGTGGGAGCCCGAGACAAGTGCAGTGATGAATAAATATTCATGAATCAAATAATTAATCCTCTTAACAGCCCTCAGTCATTAAGGTTGTGAAGTAGATGCTAATATTGCCTTCATTTTACAAAGAATAAAATGAGAACCAGAGAGGCTGAGTGACTTGCCCAAGATCACACAGCAGGTGAGTGTTATAGCTGGGTTTGACCCTGATGCCTTGTTTTTAGCAGTCCACACTCTAAATTGCCAAAGTGCCCAGTCCAGAGCAGAGTTCAGCACACAGTAGTTATTCAATAAAGTAGTCAGTAGATTTGTGCATTGGTCCTCAGGCCTCTGTTGGCTCTGAATTTCTGTAAGTCCCCATGGGCCTTGGGTGAGATGAACAAGGCACAGCCTGGCTCAGGGCTGTGGGGAGAGAGAGTGGGCTCAGAAGATGTTGAACCTGGAGGGGGCCCCAGAAAGGTGGGAAATCACTGACTTGGAGCTTTCTTGGCTCCCCTGCCAGGCTGGAAAGGGATTGTTCTGAGCATTCAGATGAAGGGAACACGTAATAGCTCAGGTGGGAGTGTAGTATTTAAAATGCCTTTGCTTGTGTAGGAGAAAAAGTCAAAGGCCTTTATCTACATGCTGCCATTTATCTGCCCCTATGACCACGTGATTGCTACTAGGTTTCTCTGACTGTTGGTTTCCTGAGTCAGTTTTCCCATCTGTAAAATGGGCATGAGAATGTGTACATGATGGCAGAGGGGAAGGATGACACTTGACACTAGACCTCAAAATGCCTGGGACGGGGCCAGGGGAAGTGTTCATTTTTCTTACCTTCCATCTGTTCCTGTCTCCTGACTTTGATTCTCTAGCTGATTCTCTAGCAGCTGTACCCTTCTGGCCACAGGTGGGTTTCAAGTATCTTCTTTGATTTCTCCTAAGCACCTTGGGTGGCTGTGAGGAATCTTAGCGCACTGCCGAATTTAACATCTGGAGTCAGGATGCACCGTGGCTTGTCCTGAGCAGGGAAGTCCTGATAACTCGGTAACCTCAGGCCCCACTTCAGATCCTCTGAAAGTCTCTCCTGTTTCTCTTTGCACTTTTCAGTGTGGACCTTGACTTGTGTATCTACAGCCTTCACTTAAAAGACCTGCTGCAGTTGGACGCGGCCTTGCAGCAGGAGAAGCACATGGTAGGTGGAGTGCTCAGGACCCAGAGACCCGCTCTCCGTGTGCGTGGCATTCTGGGGACGCTCGGGAAACGGGCATCAGTGCCAGCAGAGCCACCACAGGGGGAGGGAGAGAGAGATTAGGCATCCAGCCACAAAATGCAAACACAGATCTTGCCTGCAGATGGGGCACAGCCCTGTGGGTGTTAAGGGCTTCCTTGGTGGCTCAGTGGTAAAGAATCCGCCTGCCGATGCAGGAGACATGGGTTCGATTTCTAGGTCAGGAAGATCCCCTGGAGAAGGAAATGGGGACCCACTCCAGTATTCTTGCCTGGGAAATCCCGTGGACAGAGGAGCCTGGTGGGCTACAGTCCATGGGGTCGCAAAGAGTCGGACATGACTGAGCGACTTCACTAATACACACTAGGCCTGAGGGTATCACACAAGTGGTTATGTTAAATCTCATACAGCCCTGTAAGGTAGGTGCCATTAGTCTGTCCACTTTACAGATGGGGAAACTGAGGCACAGAGAGGAGACAGGCCCTAAGTCATAAAGTGCTAAGTTGGGGCTGAGATGCGTAGTTGTCTGAGTGAAGAGAGTAGAAATCAGAGCCATGGACATCAGGAAACAAGATAGTCTCTGCCAGGCACACATGAATCCACACTGGATCCAAGCCATAGGAAGTCAGAGGGATGAGTCCCACTGCAGTACAGAACCCCCTGGGTTAGCCAAGCAGCAAGGCCACTAGGGCTAAAAGAGGAATTATCGGGACTTCCCTGGTGGCCCAGTGGTTAAGACTCCACCCGCCTAATGCAGGGGGCCCTGGTTCTATCGCTCCCTGGTCAGGGAACTGGATTCCCACGTGCTGCAGCTAAAACCTGGCACAGCCAAATAAAACAATTTTTTTTTTTTAAAAAAAGAGGAATTATTTCTCCTTGAGACACATCCTCTGAATTACCGAGTGAGGGAGGAGACCTCATGAGAAAAGGGAGGAAAGAGAAGACCTATTGGGAAGAGAAGGTGAGGGGTAGATGGAGAGAAAGACAGAGAGACGCAGATAGGCCCACAGGTGCTTCATTAGAAATTGGAAAAATAAAAGGATATCAAATTGAGGATAAAACAGAAAAAAGTTTTGCTCTATGTGAGCAGAACAAGCATCATGATCGGGTTCCAATATATGAAATCACAAATCATCCTAGGATTCCAGAAATCAAGCCCCACAGATGCCCTGCCGAAGCCCAGGTATATGAGACACTCACCCTACTGAAGTGCAGCTTTCATCAGTCACACCTGGTCCTGCTTGGGGGCATGTGGCCCTGGTGATTCTCTCCAAGGCTCTGCTCCCTGGGGGTGATTGTTTCTGTGTTCAGAGCCCCACCCAGCTGGTGAGGGACGTGGTCCTGGCCAGCCTCACCCCTGGAGCAGTCAGCAAATGCCCACAGGGAAGCAGCCTGTTGTTTGGACAGAGCATTCACCATCACTCATCTGCCCATCTTCCCTGCGGGTAGCTTCCCCACCCTTCCGGGCAGTGCCTGCCTTTATGGAGCCTACTGTTCAGGGGAAAGATGGCAATCAAAAGACTGCACAAAATGCACAGAGGCAAAAAATATGACAAAGCAAATAAATGATGGAGTACCATGAGAGTGTATAAGAGACGACCTGAGGGTGTGTAGGCTTTGAGGAGGTGATCAGACTTCCATGGAGGGAGACACTTAAACTGGAACTGGGAGAGTTCCAAGAGCACCAGAAACAAGAACTTCCAGATGTTCAAGCTGGATTTAGAAAAGGCAGAGGAACCAGAGATCAAATTGCCAACATTCATTGGATCATCGAGAAAGCAAGAGAGTTCCAGGAAAACATCTATTTCTACTTTATTGCCTATGCCAAAGCCTTTGACTGTGCGGATCACAACAAACTGTGGAAAATTCTTCAAGACATGGGAATACCAGACCACCTGACCTGCCTCCTGAGAAATCTGTATGCAGGTCGAGAAGCAACAGTTAGAACTGAACATGGAACAACACACTGGTTCCAAATAGGAAAAGGAGTAAAGCAAGGCTATATATTCTCACCCTGCTTATTCAACTTATATGCAGAGTACATCATGAGAAACACTGGGCTGGATAAAGCACATGCTGGAATCAAGATTGCTGGGGGAAATATCAATAACCTGAGATATGCAGATGACACCACCCTTATGGCAGAAAGTGAAGAGGAACTAAAGAGCCTCTTGATGAAAGTGAAAGAGGAGAGTGAAAAAGCTGGCTTAAAACTCAACATTCAAAAATGAAGATTGTGGCATCTGGTCCCATCACTTCATGGAAAATAGATGGGGAAACAGTAGAAACAGTGACAGACTTTATTTTGGGGAGCTCCAAAATGACTGCAGGTGATGACTGCAGCCATGAAATTAAAAGACACTTGCTCCTTGGAAGGAAAGCTATGACCAACCTACACAGCATATTAAAAAGCAGAAACATTACCTTGCCGACAAAAGTCTGTCTAGTCAAAGCTATGGTTTTTCCAGTGGTCATGTATGGATGTGAGAGTTGGACTATAAAGAAAGCTGAGTGCTGAAGAATTGATGCTTTTGAACTGTGGTGCTGGAGAAGACTCTTGAGAGTCCCTTGGACAGCAAGAAGATCCAACCAGTCAATCGTAAAGGAAATCAATCCTGAATATTCATTGGCAGGACGGATGCTGAAACTGAAGCTCCAATACTGTGGCCACCTGATGCGAAGAACTGACTGATTGGAAAAGACCCTGATGCTGGGAAAGATTGAAAGCAGGAGGAGAAGGGGATGACAGAGGATGAGATGGTTGGAAGGCATCACTGGCTCGATGCACATGAGTCTGAGCAAGCTCCGGGAGTTGGTGATTAACAGGGAAGTCTGGCGTGCTGCAGTCCATGGGGTCACAAAAATTCAGACATGACTGAGCGGCTGAACTGAAGAATCAGAAACTTGGGTTCTAATCCACCCTTTGACACTTATCAGGTGTGTGACTGTGGGTAAGTTACTTCCCCTCTCTGGGCCACTTTAGGAAAGGTGTGAAAATAATATACTTCCATCTCTTACTCCATGGAATTATGGAGTTAAGTTGTCCCACTTTGAAAAGTCTCTGTGGATACATATATCTATGGCTGATTCATGTTGGTGCTTGGCAGAAGCCAGCACAATATTGTAATTATCCTTCAGTTAAAAATAAAAGAAAATTTTAAAAACACACAGAAAAGTCTCTGTGGGCAAAGCTCTGGGCTCTTTTGGGATGTGTAACCAGCATCATTACAGCGTCATTTATGAAGCACTGATACTCTGCTAGGCTACACACTTTAAATGTCTGATCTCATGGAAACCTCACTGCTGTTTTACTCATGAAGAACCTGAGGCTCAGAGAGGTCGATCAGTTGCCCAAGATCACATAGCTGGTAAATGGCAGAGTCAGAACCCAAATGACGTCTGTCTGAGTACAAGGTCAGTGTGTCCTCAGAGCCCAGAACAATGCCCTGCCCAGAGTAGGTGCTCAGTAGAACTGTGTCTGGCTGAAATCAACATCATGCTGGGAGAAGTGCTTTCTAAGCCTGGCCTTCCATTCTCTGCAGACCATGTCTTCACATGTGCAGGACCTAGAGAAACACAGGGAGGAGGAGAGAGCCACGTTAACCAAAGACTTCAAATTTTGTTCCTCTGGCAGAGGTTTGTTATCACAGGTCAGATTTCAGAAGTGACTCAGACCAGAAGCAGCCCAGAAGCTTAGAGCTCCCTGACAGCCCTTGAGGAAGACAGGGGTGCTGGACTTGTCTAGGAGGTGGAGTTGTCATCTTTAAAAGCAAGATGGCAGAAACAAAAATAGATTAGGGTCTGTGGGAAGGGGGTGGCTACTGTCAGATGAGCAGTAGGACTGGGGTTTCTCCTGGTGCTGGAAGATTCTCTATCTTGTTTGTGGTAGTGGTTATAGGAATCTATTGTTGTTTAGTCACTAAATCCTGGCAGATTCTTTTGCGACCTCATGGACTGTAGCGTATCAAGCTCCTCTGTTCATGGGATTTCCCAGGCAAGAACACTGGAGTAGGTTGCCATTTCCTTCTCTAGGGAATCTTCCCTACCCAGGGGCTGAAGCCATGTATTGGCAAGTAGATTCTTTACCACTGAGCCACCTGGGAAGCCCATAGGAATACATGAGGTAAAATTGCATAAAACCACAAACACACATGCACACACAAATGAGTGCCTGCAAAAATGGATAAAAAATGAGTAAGGTCAGTTAACTGTATTGGACCTATATCGATTTCCAGGCTTGATATGATATTAATACCACAGTGATGTAAGATAGCAGACCTGGGGGTAAAGTGCACAGAACTCTACTGTTTTTGCACCTTCTTCTAAGTCCATAATTATTCTAAATTGAAAAGTTTTTAAAATTTAAAGAAATGGGACAAGACCAATAAACATTACTGTTTTAGTTTGTGTTCAAGAAGAAAGTAGATTTGAAATGGACCTCCTGAGAAAAGAATGTTACTTTACATAGCCTTAGACTTCAATAGATAAAAAGCCAGGTCAACTTTTATCTTCTTAGAGCTTATTAGTATTGGCAAGCATAAAGAAGCCACAAAAGAAGTCCCAATAAATTTAAGGTCAAAATCATATCAAGCATCTTTTCCAACCACAGTGGTATGAAACTAGAAATCAGTTACAGGCATACCTTGGAGATATTGTGGGTTTGGTTTCAAATGACTGCGGTAAAGTGAATATCATAGTAGTGAGTCACATGAGTGTTTGGTTTCCCAGGGCATATGAAAGTTGTATTTACACTCTACTGTTGTTTATTAAGTGTGCGATGTGTATCTGAGAGAACAATATGCATATCTTAATTTTAAAATGGTTTGTTATTTTAAAATGCTGACCATCGTCTGTGCCTTCAGCAAACTGTAATCTTTTTGCTGGTGGAGGATTTGAAATATTGAAAGACTTACCAAAATGTGACACAGAGCCACAACGCGAGATAATGCTATTGGAAGAGTGATGATGAAATACTTGCTCAGCACATGGTTGGTACAAACCTTCAATCTGTAAAAATGAAATGTCTGCAAAGTGCGATTAAAGCAGAGTTCAATAAAACTAGGGATACCTGTACAGGAAGAAAGCTGGAAAAATCACAAATATGTGACTATTAAATACTGTGCTACTCAGCAACCAATGAATCAATGAAGAAATCAAAGGAGAAATTGAAAAATATTTTGAGACAAATAAAAGTGGAAATAAAACTTGGCAAAATCTGCGGAATGCAGCATAAGCAGTTCCTAGGGGGAAATTCATAGCCATCCAGACTTACCTCAGAAACCAAGAAAAATCTCAGATGAACAATCCAACTTTACACCTGTAGGAACTAGAAGAAGAAAAAGAGAAGCCCAGAGTTAGTAGAAGGAAGGAAAATAACGAAGATCACAAAGGAAATAAATGAAATAGAGACTAAAAAAGTAAGCATTGAAAAGATCAATGAAGCAATTTCTGGTTCTTTTAAAAGAGAAACAAAATTGACAAATCTCCTGACTTAAAAAGAAGGATCAATGGCTTCACTGGTAAATTCTACCAAACACTTAAAGAAGATTTAATACCTACCCTTCTCAAACTCTTCCAAAATACTGAAGAGGATGGAATGCTTCCAAACTCATTTCACTAGGCCAGCATTTCCCTGATACCAAAACCAGATAGATGCCTGGAAAAAAAGAAAAACACAAACAAGTTTCTCAGGTAAAAACAGATGCAAAAATTCTCAACAGAATATTAGCAAATCAAATTTAGCAGCAGATTGAAAGGATTGTAGCTTCCCTGGTGGCTCAGATGGTAAAGAATCTGCCTCCAGTGCAGGAGACCCAGGTTCAGTCCTTGGATTGGGAAGATCCCCTGGAGAAGGGAATGGCTACCCACTCCAGTATTCTTGCCTGGAGAATTCCATGGACAGAGAAGCCTGGCCAGCCCCAATCCCTGGGGTCACAAAGAGTCAGACAGGACTGAGCAACTAACTCTTTTACTTTTTAACACCATAATTAAGTGGGATTTATTCCATAAATGCAAGGATGGTTCAACATCCACAAATCAATCAACATGATACACCACATTAACAAAATGAAGGATAAAAATCATATGATCATCTCAAAGCAGAAAAAGTACTTAACAAAATTCAACATGTATTTATGATAAAAAAAAAATCTCTCAACAAAGTAGGCATGGAGAGAATGTACCTTAACGTAATAAAGGCTATATATGACAAACACTCAACTAACATCATACTCAACAGTGAGACGCTAAAAACTTTTCCTCTAAGATCAGGAACAATATACGTATGCCCACTCTCGCCACTTTTATCCACCATAGTGCTGGAATTTCTAGGGAAGTTAGGTAAGAAAAAGAAATAAACAGAATCCAAAATGGAAAGGAAGTAAAAACTCTTCAAGAAAAGACATGATTTTATTCATACAAAAGACTTTACAGAAAACTGTTAGAACTAATGAATTCCATGAAGTTGCAGGGTACAAAATCAGCATACAAAAATCTGTTGTGTTTCTATACACAAAAAATGAACTAACAGGAAGTGAAGTTAAGAAAACAATCCCATTTACAATTGCATCAAAAAGAATAAGATACCGAGGAATAAATTTAACTGAGGAGGTGAAAGTCCTGTATACTGAAAACTTAAGACTTTGATGAAAGAAATCGAGGAAGACACAAATAAATGGAAAGATATTCCATGCTCATGTATTGAAAGAATTACTATTGTTAAAATATCTGTATTACTGAAAGCAATCTACAGATTCAGTGCAGTCCATGTCAAAATCTGAATGCTATTTTTCAAATAGAACAACAAAAAAAATCCTAAAATTTTATGGACACACGAGACCCCCAAATAGCCAAAGCAATCTTCAGAAAGAAGAACAAAGCTGGTTATGTCAATTAGTTCTCCAAAACAAAAGATGCCTTGCTTCATAAATATGTCTAACTGACCTTTGACCGAGGTGTAAGGCAGTTCGGTGGAGGAATGTTAATCTTTTCAATGAATTATGCAGTTGAGCATCCATAAGTAAACCAAAATGAACCTCAAGCTAAACCTCAGACTTCATGCAAAAATTAACTAAAAATGACTCATGTACTTAAATTTAAAGTATAAAACTATAAATCTTTAAAAAAAAAAAAAAAGGAGGAAAGTCTTTGGGATCTAAGCAAAGGGTTCTTATATTAGCACCAATATTATGATCCATAAAAGGGGAAACTAGTAAATTGAAACTCATCAAAATAAGAAACTTCTGCTCTGCAAAAAAAACCTTGTTGAATGGATGAAAACACTGAGGCAATATTTTGCACACCACATTCTAAAAAAGAACTAGTACCTACAATATATAAGGAACTCTCAAGCCTCAATAGAAATAATAAAGAATCCAATTGGAACATGGGCAAAAGACATGAACAGATGTTTCACCGAAAAGAATACATGGCTGAAGGTAAACACAGACAAAAGCGCATGAAAAGACAGTCAGCATCATTAAGCCATTGCTGTTGCTCAGTCACTCAGTTGTGACCTACTCTTTGCGGCCCCGTGGTCTGCGGCACACCAGGCTTCCCTGTCCTTCACCATCACCCAGAGCTTGCTTAAACTCATGTCCACTGAGTCAGTGATGCCGTTCAACCATCTCATCCTCTGTTATTCCCTTAAGTCATTAGGGAAATGCAAATGAAAACCACATGAGATGTGACTACGTACCTATCAAGATGGCTAAAATAAAAGCAGCAGCAACACCAAATGCTGGTGAGGATATGATGAAACTGGATCACTAATACATTGCTGGTAGGACTATAAAAGCCCACTCCAGAAAACAGGGAGTTTCTCATCAAATTGAACTTGCAGTTACTAGAAGACCCAGAAACTGTGCTCTTGGACATGCATCCCAGAAAATCTAATGTTCACTCAAAAATCTCTATATGAATGTTCATAGCAGCTTTATTCAGAATAACCCCAAAGTGGAAAGACTTAGATGTCCTGCAATGGGTGAATGGTTAAACAAACTGTGAAGAGGGCACCCCTGGACTTGCCAAGGTGTCCCTGCCTATACAGGACCCTTCTTGATTTAAAGGACACCTCCATCCATTGAGACAGGGGGCTGGAGTGGATGACTTCACACATCCTAACAAGTGTTCTTCTGATTGTTTCCACAGAGAAGCAACTCCCCCTTTGCCTTGTCTGTTTTCTTGACTCATGGAAATGGGGAAAGTGGGCTTCCCAAAGAGTAGACTCCTTATAAATATGTGTGAGAGAGATGGGGCATTTTTCTTTAGAAGCTTCATGAAAATACAGTTCATTATAGGCCACTGTCATGGTTTTAAATCTGAGGTCTTTTCCTAGAGCCAAGATTGTTGGGGGAAGGGGAGAAAGAAGGTGGTAGGAGAAAAAGGAAGGAGGGGTAGAGATACCATTGTTTAAATCTTTCTTGTTGTTTTGTTTCCCTTTTCTGCAATAGATGTTTATTCAGATTTTTAAAATGTGCCTCCTTGACCTTCTCCCTAAAAAGAAGTCTGATGATGAATTATACCAGAAGATTCTTTCAAAGCAAGAAAATGTAAGTCTTCAACCTATATTGCAAAGTAGCTTAAAAATAGTTTATTAAGATATATAAAACATAATATCATAGGAAAGTATCTTTTATTTTATGTATAAACATACTTTATTACAACATATAGTTTTCAACACAATATAATGATATATAAAACTATAGGTATAAACATAAAGATAACAATATATATTATTAAAATGTAGAAAATATTTGAAGTAGGAAAAAAGAATGTCAGTCATATCCAGTACTCAAAGAGAACCACTATTGATGTTATTTTGTGTACAGTTTGGGGGTATTTTAAAATATATACCTTGTTTATTAGTTACAACTCTTCATACCACTTTGCATTCTTCTCTTTTCAGCCTTTTATACAACCTTTATATTGTTTTATGCACAGCAAAACAACTCAGGGCAGTAGAGGTTGATCCACGGTCTTTCACAAACTCTCTGAATGCTAGGTTTTGCATCTGTGCCATGGGATAGTAATTCCTGTCCTACGGGATTACAGAAAGGAGAAGAGAGTTGTGTATGAAACATGTAGGCAAGTAGCAGCTCAGTTCAGTTCAGTCGCTCAGTCACGTCCGACTCTTTGTGACCCCGTGGACTGCAGCACGCCAGGCCTCCCTGTCCATCACCAACTCCCGGAGTCCACCCAAACTCATGTCCATTGAGTCCGTGATGCCATGCAACCATCTCATCCTCTGTCGTCCCCTTCTCCTCCTGCCTTCAATCTTTCCCACCATCAGGGTCTTTTCAAATGAGTCAGCTCTTCGCATCTGGTGGCCAAAGTCTTGGAATTTCAGCTTCAACATCAGTCCTTCCAATGAACACTCAGTAGCAGCTAGACGCTGATGATCGCTGCCATAATCATCAGTATCATTGTCATTATTGTCATTTTAATACCAACACAGTCACCACCACCACCATCATTATCATCATTGTCACCATCACCACCACCATCTTCATTATTGTCATAATCATTCTTTTGATGACTGTCACCACCATTATCATTATCTTCATTGTCATTCTTATCATTGTCAGCACCACCACCGTCACCATGCTTCTCTTCATTTCCCAAGAGCACTACCAGCGTTTCATCATCACCACCCTCGTCGTTACCATCACTCTTATTACTCCCATACCAGCATCATCTGCATCATTATCATCTTCATCACCATGACTGTCACCCCCTCCACCATCATCCTCATCATCATCACTTCTGCTTCACTACTTTCACCTTCATTATCATATCATTGACATCACCCTCGCTGCCACCATCACCATTATCTTCATCAAGGTCACCATTATCATCTTTATCACCACCACCATGAGATTCGGGAGACCAGGAAGGAATGTTTCTTCTCTATTCCTCTGGATTCCATGCAGGAGGATTCATCACTACATCCCAAGGAAAAGGCAGACCATCTTCATTTTTATTGTCATCATCGTCATCATCCTGAGGACCACCACTGTTGTGATCATCAGGCAGTGCACACAGGGCTTTACACATATTATTCAATCTTCACAGCAGCCCTGTGAGTGGCCATCATTATTTTTGTTTACAGCCAAGGAAGTTGAGGTTCAATGAGTCTAAATGACTCTCCAACAACAAAAAATATTGATTATGTGGTGATACTTGCAGTTATATGAGTAGTGAAACAATGTCGTATGTCTTATAACAAGAATAAAAGCTTTGGTGTCTGCAGGTCTGGGATTAAATCTCACCACTACCATGTACAGAGCATTTTAATTATTATAGTGGCTACAGTTCACTGGATACAGTCTGTCTGAGGACTCTAAATGCATACTTTTCTTTAATATTGATAGCAGCCTTAGAACCTCTATATGAGGATGAGAAGTACCCAGAAAATGGCAGTTGCTTTGGAGAGAAGCAGATAATACATGCAGTTGGAAGAGTGGGTCTCTGGAGTCCATGGGCCTAAGGGACCTAACCTAGCATACTGCTTCCTACTGGGTAACTTTCCTCACCTGGAAAGGAACCCTTGTTTCTTTCTGGTAGAGTTGCTGTGAGAATTAGGAGCCACATATGGCTTCCACTTGGACAATCAGCAGCAGTTTTCCTAATGAAACTGAACCCACACCAGTGTTGATTTCATGTCAGTGAACACAGGTCTGGAGAAAACAGAACGGCCACCCACACTCTGCGTGGGGGTTTGAAAGACTCCATAAATAGGCTTCTCCTTTTCCTTCTAAGATCTGATTTAATTAAGAGAAAGTGTTGGGGAGACATGTATACAAATGTCAGGTTTATTGCTGAGAGGAACCTGCTTGCAGGGTGTGACTGAGATATATAGCAATCATGGCTTCCTAATACTGAATCCGGGATTAGCTAAATTGCTTACCTAAATCACTTACTGGCAAAGCTGGGCCACCTCAGGCCTCCCCACACACAAGAGGGACCCTTGCTCCCCAGCTCACTCTAGACTGAAGCCACACCAGGGTGGTAGCCTCCCCTGAATGGTCTGTCCCAAAGAGGATGAGGCTGGGCAAGCTAGAGTCTACGCTCACTTCCTGCTTTTGAACCACCAAATACATATCACTTCCTCCCTGGGGTGTACTAAGTAATCCTTCCCCATGGAAACTAGAGGAGTGGAGAGGAAATATTCCGTCCCAACACTCCAGAGTACCAGGACATGTTCCTGGAACTTCATCAAGATTGGAAGATACTTTTCATTGTTTCTAAAGTATGTCCTATTTGGAGAAAGGTTAGGAAAATACAGAAGAAAATACATAATTCATTGTTCCTGAGACTCTACATTTAATGAGAAAAATAGATTTCTATCATCAATCCTTCAGTAGAACAATACCCAGAGCATTATCATAAGAAATATTTTATGATAATGTGGTGAAAAATAAAAGCATTTCTTCTCTAGAATTTAAGATACATTAGATTTTCTTTGTCTTTTTCTTTTTTCTCCAGGATTTGGAGGAATCAGAAAAGAGACTTCAGGTCAAGCTGTCAAATACAGAGATGTTGGGTGGCAGAGACTCCGAATACATCACCCTGGCAGATGTGGAGAAGAAGGAAAGAGAATATTCTGAGCAGCGAATAGCTTATGTATGTGGTGGATTTTCTTTCCCCTATAAAAAGCGTGGTTTCTGGGACAGTGCATTTGGCAAGGTTAAAGAGCTGGTACCTAGAAGCATGTTTAATACTCAAATTCTCTGTTGTATTTGACTATTAAATATGCCCTGGAGCCAAGTTTCCCATTTCTGAAGTTAAGTGTTAGAGAAGGTATAATTAAGGGGCCAAGATTTACTGAGGGAGTCTTTTTTTTTCCTTTCTTTTAATGAATTCCCCTTGTTTAAATTTTAGATGGATCTTTTTATTGTTCAAGCAAATATTGCCCTAACCCTCTGTGACATTACTGCCCTGTGGGTTAGAGCAGATGCCAGCTGCTAACTGCTCAAACTCCAGGCATCACTAATAAAAGCATGTTTTAAATTCCAAAGAGGATGAATGGTTTAGTCATTAAGTCATGTCCGACTCTTGCTATCCCATGGATTGTAGCCTGCCTGGGTTCTCTGTCCATGGGATTCTCCAGGCAAGAATACTGGAATGGGTTTCCATTTCCTTCTCCAGGGGATCTTCCCAACCCAGGAATTGAACCCAGGTCTCCTGAATTTCAGGCAGATTCTTTATGGATTGAGCTATGAGGGAAGCTCATAGCTTCCCTCAAATTCTCTTTTTTGCTTTGACGTTCTACTACCCGCTGTCCATATATTATGAATTAAACAAATATTTCCTTGGCACCCAGGTGTTATGCTGGACACTAGAAATTCACAATGAACTTAGACCTGGGCCTTCTGGGAAGATACTCAGGCCAGTCTGGTGGGGGAACCAATAGGTGAGCAGGTGAGAGCTTTGTGGCTTACAGAGACCATGATAGATGGATATATGGTAAGACTGAGGTACAGTGGAGGGAGCTATTCATTTTACTCTCTAGGGTTAGGAAACTCTGCATAGAAGAAAGGGCCATGATGGGGTTTTGGGGGAAGTGTGAATGGATGCTGCCCATTGGTTGGGCAGAGAAGGGAGCCAGGGCAGGAAGCAGGCTGAGCAAGATAAAGCCAGAGGTCTCCCCTGAGGGCATTCATCTCATGCCAAGGAGATGGGAGTCACTGAAGTGGCAGAGGGTGGCTTGGCTCATTCTGTTTTAGAAGCACTGCCCAGGTTGCTGAACAGAGGATCGTTAGGAGTTTGGGAGCTAATGCAGTAGGCATTTCATGAAAGCAGTTGCAGTAGGGATGGAGAGGTAAGAAAAAGGGGGAGAGCTGAGAGGGTTGTGTCTGAGTAGGTTATGGTGGGAAGAAGAGGGTGTAGAGCATCAGGTCTATGGAAATAAGGACCCCAGAATGACATCAAGTCAGGAGGGAAAATGCTGAGTGTGGCTTGATATCTTGAGTTGGAGATGCCTGGAGATGGAGCATCTCCACTGAGCTCAGGTAGGAGCACATGGAGAACAAGGATGTTCGATGAGATGGCTCAGGGAGGGTGCTTAACCCAGATTCCAGTGGTCCATGGTCTCCCCAGAGCAGTGGGACACCTTGTCCTTGTCTGACCATTTCAAGCAGAGGATTGATAGTTCTCAGAAGATTCTCCGATGTATGGGCAGCATCCAATAATGGAGAGGACTCTGGCCCAGGAGTACCAGGAAGCCTGGCATGCTGCAGTCCAAGGGGTCCAAAGAGTTGGTATCATCCAATAACAGAGATGCCTGTGGTCCAGGAGTGCATGTAGGAGGGGTAGTAAAAAGCCTTATGCCAAATCCTGGATCCTGTGAGCATTGAAGGAGCAAGATTCAAGGAGAATCAAAACAAGAAGTAGAGTATAGACCTTGAAGAACCAGGAGAAAATCATGTCATGGACACTAAGGGAATTATGAGTTTTTCAGAACAATGGGGTGGGCACCCTCGTTCTCTGAGACAGGAAGAGAAGAGGCAGAGCTGCTGGGATGTATTACTCTGTTTCTGGATGTGCGGGGATTCACGGGTGGTAGTCCACCTTCATCCTCTGTCGTAGATGGTTGGATGGCATCACTGACTCAATGGACATGAGTTTGAGGAAGCTCTGGGAGTTGGTGATGGACAGGGAGACCTGGTGTGCTGCAGTCCACGGGGTCGCAAAGAGTCAGACACGACTGAGCGACTGAATTGAACTGAACTGAGTCCACCTTCTGGGATAGAGATTGGAGAGGAGGTCATCTGAAGGGACGAGAAGGGCAAGAGCAGGGTGTGAATGTGAGTGAGGAGGTGGTGGGGGTCGATAAAGGGTTTGCTGAGCTGCCATGAGGCCCAGGAGATGGGAAACGAAATTTTCAAAGAGATGCCAGTTCATACAGGTGTGGGCTTTCTCCTGGCCATGCCCAAGAAAGATGGCTGGTTTGGTTGACTCAGAGCTTCAGGTCTCCATCTGTCTCTACCCATAACAAGATCAGCATGGACTTCTGATACCACTAAGCCCTGACCCTCCCATGTGCTGCTGAGGGAGAAATGTCCATCTTGACATCTGAAGGGTAGAGCCAAGTTGGAGAAAACCACCGCTGTGGGAGCTGAAGGGACTGATTCCAGTTCCCCTCTCCCTCCTGACTCTTGGCCAGTGACCTAACTACCGGAGCCTGTTCCTTGTCCTTCCGATATGTATTTTATCTAGAAATGAGATGTGTGACACATGGAACCTGGCGTATAACCTGCATACCATAAAGAAAAGTTGTTATGACTCCAGGTATCGTTGTTCTTCGAGCTCTGGGAGGCTGCAGTGACAAAAATTTAGCCCCCGACAATCTAAACCACTTGGCGATTTCCTGCTCTGCTCCCAGTAAGATGGGGGGGAAGTGTTAGTCGCTCAGTCATGTCTGACTCTTTGTGACCCCATGGACTATAGCCCACCCAGCTCCCCCTGTCCATGGAATTCTCCAAGCAAGAATACTGGAGTGGATTGCCATGCCCTCCTCCAGGGCATCTTCCCAACCCAGGTCTCCTGCACTGCAGGCAGATTCTTTACTGTCTGAGCCGCCAGGGAAGCCCAAGATTGAGGAGAGGGGAAAAGGCTGGAAAGCAAAATGTTTTTACGGTTATCTTCGTCTCTGCCATACTGTTCTTTTGTACTGTTAGGGCAATAATTAATATTTAAATGACCATCCATGCTTTTATTTCCAGGATGGGTTTAATCCCTTTTAAAGATCCAGAAGCTTCCAGGAGCACACTGTTGAATTTCATGAGCCCCTCCCCTCCCCATCCCAGGCAGCAATCACAGGCTGTTTTTCTTAAGCAGCTGTCTTTCAGCTGCTTAAGCTGGGGGATCTCATTTTGTTTTCCTTCGTTATCAGTCGTGCAGTGGTGTTTGCTGAAAAGCCGCCTTGAAACTGACTGGCACCCACAAAAGAATGAGGAGGAACTTCTGGAGAATGTGATTGTTGCCAAGATAACTTGCTCCGACTTGTGGAAGTGTTTAGAATTTGAGTTTGTGATAAGCGGTGAATAGTAATGCTCAAGCCTGAACCAGACAGCTTTATACCTTTCTTAAATAAGTTTTCTCTCCCCCACCTCTTGCTTCTCATTCTCATTTCACAGATGGAAGCTTTCTGGAAACAGATGGAAAACATCCAGCACTTTCTGGTGGACCAATTTAAGTGTTCCAGCTCCAAAGCTCGACAGCTCACAATGACTCTGACAGAAAGAATGATTGCAGCCGAAGGGCTGTTGCGTGATTCTCAGGATTTGCAGGCTCTGGTAATGCTGGAGGGGGCGGGGAGGGAACGTGATATTCAGACTAGAGATGTGGAATCAGAAGCTTGGAGGGCCACAAGGATAATTAAGTTCCACACCTGTATACTGTAGATGGGGATACAGAAGCCAGAGAAAAGCAGCACATCCATTTGCCCATCTACCCATCCATCTGTCCATCCATCCATCCGTCCATCTGTCCATCAGTCATTTTTCTATGCACCTCTCCATCCATCCATCCATCCATTCATTCATCCGTCCATTCCATTAATGGAAAACCCAGCCAGCTCCATGTCAGTACAGCAGGGAACACTGGTTCTCAATTCTGGCTGCACATTGAGGTTAACTGAGGAGGTTGAAAAAGTACTGCTATTTGAATCCAAGATGGGTCCCTCCCCAAGAGATTCTGACTTAATAAGTCTAGGTTTTTTAAGGTTTCAGGTGAGCAGTCAAAATTGATGCCCACTGGTGGATGGAGCTTTGGGTAGCTCTCCTGATGGCCCCTTGTATCATCACCGAGGGAGCTTAAAATAATGCCTGTGCTCCAGGCCTTTTGCACAGAAATCCAATCTGACTGGTCTGAAGTGAAGATCCTGGCATTGCTGGTTTTAAACCCCCCAGCCCCAATGATTCTGATGTGTAACTGGGAATATAAACCACTGGTTCAGAGGAATCCACAAATCCAAATCTGACTTTGAATCTAAGCTTAGCCAGTTGAAGCTGTGTGATCTTGAATCAGTTACTTAACCCCTCTGAGCTTTGATTACTGATAAAAAATTTCCATCCCAGGAGTTGCTGCAGGCAGGGCCCTGGGAAATGCTCAGTAACTCATAGTCACCGTGGGGCTTTGCCATGGGAGTTTTGGACTAGCCCGGCTGTTTGTAAAGCCCAGGACACTATGCACCTGTTAACCCTTCCTCTGACCTTGAAAACTCATGAGCTCAGACCCGTGCACCCGTCCAGGTCACACCTGACTCAGAAACCTGCAGCAGCCACCCTGCCCTCAGCTCCAAGACTCAGCTCCTCAGAGAGGAGATGGCCCTGTCGAACCGAGAGATCCCTTCTGCTTCTGCACAAACCGCTCTGCTCCTCAAAGTGCGGTCCACAGACCGGCAGCATCAGCATCGCCTGAGAGCTGTTTAGAAATGCAGAATCTTGCTCCCCTCCCGAATCAGGGTCTGCATTTTAACACACTCACAGGTGTGCAGAGCTGTTAGAGAACCTTCTCTGCTTTTGCTTATCACGTACACATAGTTTCCTTTCTCTCCTCTGCACTGCTGAAAGATAGACACAGATATTTCATTCCCAGTGAGCAGAGGGACCAGCCAAGCGACTCACCTGGGTCCCCCATACTGTCTAATGATATCCCTCAGCCTGCACCCCAAACATCCTGGTTTACTGTCCAAGCCCCTTTGAATTGGACTTTAATTTGATAAGGCTGCCGATATGAATGCTCGTCAAAGGAGAAAGATTTTTTTCCTTTTACTCTTTTCTCTTTGTATTTAATTATTATTCCATCAGCAGGATATTGATACGGGGGGGGGGGGGAAGTATCCTTATCTAACTCTGGCCCAAATATTAGCCAGTCACTCCAGAGAGGAAGAAGGGGAAGAATTTTCTCCAGGTTATCAGTAGATCCTTCCTTCAGTCAACATTTCATGAGCACCTACTATGTGCCACATCCTGTTATAGAAACCATGCTGCAGACTTGAGCTAGAATCCTGACCCATTCCATAGTTGCCTCTTATTAGCCGTGTGACATTGGGCAGGTTACTTAACCTCTCTGGGACTCAGTTTCATCATCTGTAAAATGGGAACCCGAATAGCATCAGCTCTGAGAGTGTTAGAAAGTGGATGACAGGTAGCGCCTTTACAACAGAGCCTGACCCAGTGGGAGTGCTCAGTATGTGCTAGTGATTGGATTCTGGCAGGTCACATGTCAGTAGGGAAAAGAGATATAAACAAATCACTGTAATGATGTGTGAAAAGACTGTAATCTTTGTACAGAAGTGGGATGGCTTGGTTCTGCCTGCATCCTATGTACCAAAAATAAAAAGTAGCTTCTGTATGATGGAGTCTGTTGATGATAAGCTCCAGAAGAATTTTAAGTTCCCAGGCTAGTGACATCTGAGTGTTTTGGCCTGGGCAGTTGGAATGTATTGCACGGCATCGCTGAATATCAGGACTGGAAGAGCCCTAGAAAGGGCCCCAGAGGTTATCAGAATCAGTCTCCAGGGATGTTCAAGAGAGAGAGGATGCCAGGAGAGAGGTGGAGACCTGCTGTAGATAACTGTGACAGCGGCTTGCATTCTGCAGCACCTACTGTCTTCTGGTCGCTATTTTAAGTGCTGTACATATTTTGATTTACTTAATGATCACATACACTCTGTAAGTCACATCCACTGTGCCCAAGGCTGTGCAGGTCTGGAGCCAGGTTTGAGCCCGGGTAGGTTTGAGGACCAGCTACACTCAGAGCCATCAGTGGCCCCTGCACCTCCTTGTTCCCCTCCTGCCTCCCATCTGATGCTCCTGTTTTCCTGCTCACCTCTCTCCATTCCTGTCTTTCCTTAAATATAAATCCAGAGAGTGCACTGTCACTGCCCAGACAGGCGGCCTCATTTAGAGCACCGTCTTAGAGGTGGCTGCTCTGAACATGGGACGCCTTCCACTCACCTGGGAGCCTGGCTGGACCACTTGCCGTCCACTCCGGCACCGAGCGCTTATCCTCTTGCACCCTCTAGTGGTTATGGGCCCACTGATGGCTGTCAGTCTTATTTATTTACTTGGAGGAAGCCCAACTAAAGGTGAGAGGAGAAGGGGATGACAGAGGATGAGATGGCTGGATGGCATCACCGACTCAATAGACATGAGTTTGAGTAAACTCCGGGAGTTGGTGACGGACAGGGAGGCCTGGCGTGCTGCGGTTCATGGGGTCGCAGAGTCGGACACGACTAAGCGACTGAACTCAACTGAACTGAACTGGAGGAGGCCCACTGTCCCTGGGCTAGTTTGATGGCCTTCCGGAATAAACCTCAGCATTCTTGTCTGTAACTGGGGTGTCATTTTCCTGGCCCTGTTCACATGTTGTTATAATGCAGACCAATGCAGCTCAGCAAACAGTGAGGCCCAGGGCTGAGTGGTGGGTATGGCCCCAGCTATGGCCCCTGCATCCAGGGCTCTTGGTCCAGACAAGGCACAGGAGCTGTGGAACTGGGAGGAGGGACCAAGGGGTTGGGGAAAGACCAAGGAAGCCACCACATGGTCCACAAAGATGATTAGGACCTGGGCAGGCAGGGGAGTGAGAGGTCGTGGGCAGAGTGTTCCAGGAGGAGGCCTTGCATGTGCAAAGGCCCTGCGGAGCTGAAAGCCGGGCATGCTGGGCAGTCCGGAGCAAGGATGGGTGTGGGACCAGGCTGGAGGCCAGCCAGGCCTGGTTCGGGAAGGTTCGTCCACTGTGCCTGGGAGTTTGGATTTGCTTTGAAGGAAGTGATTGTAGGGTTTGGGCCTGGGGATGTCAGAATCACGTTTGCACCACAGAAAGGGCTCTCCGTATACGATGCAGGGAGGAGCTGAGGGGGCAGCTGGATGCCAGGAAAGCCAGGGCAGTAGCCCAGGTGGAACTGACCAGGGCCTGAGCTGGGCCTGGCCCTAGGCCAGCAGGAAGGAGACGGAGGGATGTAGAGAAGGCAGGGGTGCAGGTATGATGGGGAGAAGGGCGCTGAGGCTAACTCAGGCCATGGCCATGGAGTGCTGGGGGTCTGGGGGACCACCCCAGGAGGGAAAGGCGTCCTTCTGCTGCAAGGCAGGGCCTGCGACTCTCACGCCATGCCTGGGCTCCCATTCTACATGGTTCCCTGAGCCGCTGCTCTTGGAGATGGAAGGACCCTAGATGCAGACCTGCAGGGCCCGCCTCTGCCCTTGGTGGACATTTCCTGCATGGGGAGGCATCTTTTCCGAGGATTGCGTCCTCAGTGAAGGACAGCCCAGTAGGGCTGGCGGACCTGTTCTAAAGTCTACCGGCTGGGGTCATCCCCCTGGTCAATCTTACCTGGAGAATCTCTTTAATCCCCAGCGCTCTGGTTTCCGGAAGCTCGAAGGCCAGGAAGTCCCGTGGCCTTTACTGTTTCTCCCAGCCCTCCTCCACATCCAATGGAGGCCAGAGGCCCCATCGACCTGGGAGGATGACGATGAGGGAGGTGGACTTTTCTCTTTGGTTGTGTGCATTTATTGAGCTTTCCCCAGAGACAAGTGAGCCCGCTGTGGTGCATTCACTGTGTACCAGGTTCTTTCCGCGTGTCATCCAGCATCGGCCGTACCACGTCCCCACGAGGGACCACTTTGCCCCCATCTGAGACATGCACACAGGAAGCTCAGGAGAGTGGGACCTTCTTCTGTGCTCTGCTCACTGGGAACTGGGGGCCCCAGGATGGAGCCTGTAGCCTTTAACAGCCCGTCGTGGCCAAATGCTGACTCTGGATGCCCCAGCCTGATGCCCTCCATATTGATTTTCCCAGGACACCCTGGAGAGGACGCTGGGGCGGGCGCATGTGGCCAAAACGATGGAGTTCCTGAAGCTGCAGGTCCAGGAGGAGACCAAGTGCCGCCTGGCAGGCATCTCCCACAGCCTGGAGCTGCTGACCATCGAGGGGAAGCTGTCCGGGCGGGAGAAGGAGGACCTGCTGACCCAGCAGCACAAGGCCTTCTGGGAGGAGGCGGAGGGCTTCGGCAGGGGTGAGTGAGCGGGCCAGGCCGGGGCGCCTGGGTCCCCACGCTATGTTGCGGGCCATGGGGGCCAGGGCTGGTGGTGGCACTTGCAGGCGTCAGGAGTAGTTCCCATGAGACTAGCCCGGGCTGCCGCCCCCAGTCACTTAACCTCTCTGAGCCTCGATGGTCCTCCCATGAAGCAGAGGTAATAGGGCTGCCTCCTAGGGTCCCGTGTTGCCTGCTTTGTCGTCATCAGTGATTCGGGCTGGCAGAGACCCCCCAGAATATGCAGAGGACAAAGCCCAGAAGCCCCCCAGGAGTCCTGGGGCCTGGCTCAGCTGCAGGTGGATGAGGGTGGCTGGTGGTCAGGGAACTGGGCGTGACTGTTTCCCACACATGCTGCTGCTCGCAGGCTGGACCCTGAGATGGGCAGGTCAGGGCTCAGGACATCAAGGGCACCCAGAACAGTCCAGCTCATACCGCTGGTGGGACCCTCAGGAAGAAACCCAGGTCTTCCACCTGCAGGGCAGGTGCTCCCTCTGCACAGCCTTGGACCCTCGGGAGGAGAGCCCCTCAGCGTTGAGCCGAGGCTGTGTGTGCACCTGTGGCCTGAGTGGAAGCACATCCGGGGCCTCTCCAGGTCAGGAAGTCTGTATGGCAGGGGAACTGTGTGCCTAACAAGGTCTCCAGCAGCTTCTGGGGACCTTGTCAGGACCAGGGAAGCTTGAGTGTCTTACCTGCTGGGGTGGCCATAATGGGATGCCATGGGCTGGGTGGCTTCCACAACACACTTTTGTTTCTCACGGTTTCGGAGTCTGGAGTTTAAGATCAGTGTACAGCCAGTTTGGCTTCTGCTGTGGGCCTGTTTTCTGACTCGCAGATGGCTACCCTCTCACCACGTTTCACATGGCAGAGAGCAAGCTTTCTCACCTGAGTTCCTCTTCTTAGAAGGCACCGACCCTATGTGATTAGGGCCCCATCCCTAGGACCTCATTTAACTTCATAGGCCCCACCTCCAAAGGCAGGCACGTGAGGCTAAGGACTTCAGCTCATCATTTTGGGGACACAGTTCAGTCTCCAGCACCGGGTTTCCACTGCAGCCATTGGCCTGGTCCCATTGCAGCTGTTCTGTCCCGTCTGACATAGCTGCCCACTGCCCCTTAGAGGTGGGGTCAGAGGGCAGGCTCTCAGTCCTGGGACTCAGAACTCCAACCAGGCTGTTCCACAGATGTCTGTGTCACTGGGAGCTATGGTTTCACGTGGTCATGTGTGACCACATGGAAACCTGCTGTGGCTGGGACTTTGGACGGCATAGAATCTGAATGCTTCTGGCCTTGAGGTCACCAAATATGGTGGACGGGGCTTTACCAGTGGGAGGGAGTGGCCGGGCTGGGATGATGAAGCAGCCCCCTAGGTGGGGCTCCTGTGAAATGGGACAAGACAGAGGAGACAAGAAGACAGTCAGGGGTGGAGGGAGGACCCTGGTCTGTCCTGGCTGCACTCTTTCCTTTGGTGTTAGAAGCTAAAAAGATTCTCAGGTCAAGCCCTAGGAAGCTTGCCTGAACTGGGGTAAGTGCAGAAGGAAGTATGACATGTGGGGCAGTTGGGGGAGGTGAGATGCTGAAACCAATGTCCCCAAGGGCTGCAGCCCCTTGTGACCCAGCCCTCGCCTCCTCTCCAACCTCTTTGCCCAACATCTCCTCCGAAACCCAAGTGAACAGAATCTGGCTGGCCTCTTCATTGTCTCCACTCCCAGGAGCCTTCTCTGGGGTCCCACGCTGTTTGTGTCTCCTCCCCTACCGCCACCCCAGCCCTCATCAGCACAATTTCTTCTTCCACATTTCTTGTCTTCCCTGGACCATGAGCACCTTGAAAGCTAGGCTGGGTCCTGCTCTCGGCCCCAGTTCCCAGCGCTCTGCATGGTGTGCCTCTGAGGCTGAGGGGCCTGGGTGGGCCGAGAGGTTGTTTTTAGTGGCTCAGCTGGTAAAGAATCCGCCTGCAGTGCGGGAGACCTGGGTTCAATCCCTGGGTAGGGAAGATCCCCTGGAGAAGGGAACGGCTACCCACTCCAGTATTCTGGCCTGGAGAATTCCATGGACTGTTATAGTCCCTGGAGTCGCAAAGAGTTGGACACGACTGAGCGACTTTCACTTTCCTCTCGCCTCAAGTTTACCTTTCCCCACCGCAGGTGCCCTTGGCGTTGGTTCACCTGCCTCCTCTTCTGCTGATCTAATAACTCGCCCTGGCAGCTTTTGGATCTCGACTCCAGTCTGAAATGTTACTGTCTTCCTGCAGACTCAGGCCCTCTGTCCTGTCACCGGCCCCTCCCTGTGCCCCCCCTCCCCTCCCCCATACACATATACTCTTCTCTCCAGGAAAACGCCCCTTTGTTTATCTCCAGGTCAGGGTGAAAGCCTCGCATGTTGCTCTGAACCCCAGGCTGGGAAAAAGCGAGGGAGAGGTCCCATAAAAATGACAAGGGACTTTGAGGATCTCCTAACACCAGACCTAAATGATAAAATGAATATAAGAAACGAGACTTGCCCCAGCGTTTCTGACACTCCACGTGCTGGAAGAAGCAGCAAGTGGAGGTTTCACCAGGCGAGCAACCCGCAATGTCCCTTGTTTTGTTTCAATTGCAGAGTTTGTCCAGCGAGGCAAAGACCTGGTCAAGGCCTCGCTGGTGCGCCAGGCAGAGGAGATGGCAAGGCTTACGCTGGCCCAACAGGAGGAACGGAGGAGCTTCCTGGATGCGGGGCAGCTGACCGCCCACCCCGAGGAGTTCCTCCAGGTGACCTGCTCCCGACTCACACCCGGGTCCACAGGCATAGCTGTGGAAAGGCAGTGGGAGGTTCTGAGGAGAGGGCATCTTACAGATGGTGCCAGGCAAGGGCCCAGCCTGCAATGGAGGTCACCAGGCAGTGTCCCCAGAGGGGACAGGCATGTCCCAGGTGCGAGGCAGGCAATTACAGACAGGGATGGGGCCCCTCGCTGGGTCAGGCAGCAAGTCAGAGGAGGACCCTGCACATGGGGCTGAGCAGGAAGGACCAGAGAGGTGGACAAGCTGGACAGTGCTCGTGGCTGTGACTGGGAATAAAAGATAAGGGGACCCTCAGGAGGACAGGAAGCAAGATGTCACCCAACTTGAAGGAAAACAGACAAACTGGTGCATCACAGGCTGGAAGGACCAGGGCTTGGAGTTCTCAGAGGACAGAACTCTGATGCATGGTGCCCTGTCGATGGGTGTGTGGGGAGGGGCTGTTTGTCTACGGCTCGTCGCCCAAGGTTGTTAAGCATTTGGGTGCTGGGGCAGCAGGACCTGGGTTTGAACATTGCCTCTGTTGCTGCATCTGGCTGACCACTTGGCTTCATCTTCCTCATCTGTGCATTGGGAATCATCACACCTACTAATGGGGTTGTTGGGACTCAACCAGACCAAGCGAGGGACAGCCATGGCCTGACCATTTCTCTGTGTGAGCATCTGCTTGTCTCTGCTCTGCCAAGGGGATAGGAGGACCGTATCGGGGTCCAGGCTCAGCCCAGAGCACAGACACTGGTCCTCCCTGGGGGCCAGCATGGTAGTGTGGCTACCTCCCCCGCCCCGCAGTGAGAAGCCAGCAGAGGGACCCTCAAAGATGGAGAAGTCTTCTCATCCCCAGGTCCCTGGTCCAGTGCTCTTCCCCACCCACAGAGCCTCCTCCCAGGACCCATGCCTGGGGTTTCTGGGATTTGACATAAAGTGGGGTGGGGGCTGCTCCTGTCTTTGAGAAGATCCATTTGAAAAGAGAGTGATAAGATACGATTATACAGTTTTCTGTTACTCTGAGATTTCCGGGTCCTCCTCCCTGACGTCACATGGCTCAGGGGGAGTCCTGAGTGTGGAGACAGTGATGCCTCAGCTCTGCAGTCCAGGATCTCAGCCCAGGCTGGTGCACACTGATGCTCAGGGGACACGGGACCAAAGAAGGAAGGGTTGAGTGGATGCCTGCATGAATGAAAGAATAAGTGAACGAATGAATGAATGGATGGACCCACAAAGTGTTGGTCACTCAGTCATGTCTGACTCTTTGCGACCCCATGGACTGTAGCCCACCAGGCTCCTCACTGCCCATGGAATTCTCCATTCAAGAATAATGGAGTGGGGTGCCATTTCCTTCTCCAGGACCCACAGAGGAACACATAACTGAACGAATAAATGGAGAAATGACGAACAGATGAGTGAGTGAATGAACAAAGGAATGAATGGTTGGGTGCATGATGGACACAAAAGCACAAATAATTGAATGAATGAATGGGCGGCAAACAACCGAATGAACAGGGCCTGATGAATGAGCGTGGACTTTGGCCCCTCGCCCAGCCCCTCCCTCTCTGGACCCTGGTCCTCCCTATCAGCTCCCCTCCTGTTCTGCTCCCATCGAGACCAGAGGCTTCTGAATGCCTGGTCTCCGCTGCTGTTGGTGCTCCTTGAACCTGGCTTGGATTGGCTTCCCATCTTCCCTCCAAGGACCCCTCCTTGTCCGTCAAGACTCAGCTTATGTGTCTCCCTCACAGGGACTCTTCCCCTTCTGCTGACCCCTAAGAGGAGTCCACCCTCCATACTTGGGCCTCAGGTGCCTCTCTGACTGTGTTTGGAGCATCTGGTACACGACTCTCTGTCACTCTATCGGGCTCCTCGAGGCTGGGCCAGCCGCATGGTCAGAGGGGCTCAACTGGCCACTGACCACCCTGATAATGCTCAGGCTTTTCTGGATGGACCTCCCAAGACCTGGGTGGTGATCTCCAGGAGCTGAAATCAGAAAATGATGTCTGGGGGGCTTGTGGTCAGGAGAGAGGGTAACAGGGCAGGGAGACGGTTGGGGGGAGGCTGGCGTCTTCTCCTGCTGGATAGATGGACAAAAGCACAGTCTTTTATTTTCCTGGAGATGGGGTTCACTGGTCCTGGCCTCGGCCACAGTTCACAAGCCATGAAAATCATGTGACATTTCTGTGCCTCGGTTTCCTTGGGTATAAATCAAGGGTGAACATCCTTCCAATGTGCAAGACAGGGTCAGTTGGGGAGGTTGTACAAGGGAAACAAATCAGCATCTCTCTGCAGATTCAGCCTCTGTTTTACTTGCAGGCATTTCACGACATCCTGGAGATGCAGAGGCTGACACGGGGTGACCTGGAGGAAGAGGAGGACGTCAGGGCTGCCCAGGCCGTGGCCGCACTCTGCCAGGTACGTGGCCTCCAAGCGGGACTGGCAGAGAAACCTCAAGATCCGGGCATGTGTGAGAACCTCACAGCCTCCGGGGCCAGGGACCCCGAGACCCTCTGGGCAGAAACCAAGGAGGGCAGTTGTTGGTCCAGGTCACATCCAAGGCCCCTTCCATTTCAAGATGTTTGGGACCCTCACCTCCACGTGTTCCAGGAGGCAAGGGTCTTTGAAAGTCAGCTTGCCCATTTTGAGAGTAGCCTGGCGTCAATGGGTGTTGTGAGTGTGGAGTGGTGATGAGGAAGGAGGGTTAGGCTTGAAACAGAGGCCTGGGTTCGAGTGCCAGCACCAACTCTTTCTCCCTGGGCAACCTCATTTAGCTCTGGGACAAGGGCTGGCTCTGAGAAAACGGGAGAGAGCACGCAAGCCCTCCAAAGTCAGAGGGTCTCTGGGATATGATGATGACTGAGACAAACAGAGACCCTGCCCCAGGCAGGACCCAGAGCTGCTGAGAAGGTGGAAAAGTGGCCCCAGTCAGGAAGGAAGGTGACGTGTGCTGCTTTGGTGGGGAGCGCCCCAGAGAAGATCCACCTGGATTCAGGGGCCCTGAGCCTGCGTCCTGGTTCTCCTCCCTCCTCGCGGTGCAACCTCCAGAACATTACTTGGCCTCTCTAGGACTCAGTTTTCCTATCTGTGAAATGGGGCCAGCAATGCCCTTCTTCACAGTGCTCTTGTGAGCACTGAATGTGCATGAGACCAGACAGGAGTTGGCACCCGGGACGTGCCCAGTCCAAGTTCACTGCCCTTACAGCATCTCTGCCAATGGATGCAGAGAGGAGGGGTGAGAGACACCGGGGATGGGGGGGTGAAGGTGAGTTCAAAGATGGCCATCCACAGAAGGTGATGCCTGAGACAGGCTTTGAAGTGGGAGACAGGCTCCTAGTGGACCAGGAGTCAGCAGGCAGCCCAGGCAGAACACGAGGACGGGGAAGGAGCACAACCCCCATCATGATGGCAACAATGCAGGGTTCAGTGGCATTTGTATGAGTTTGCAGAGGCCACCATAACAAAGCGCCCCAGCCTGGACCTTAAGTACAGACTTTTATTTTCTCCTTGTTCTAGAGGCTAGAAGTCCAAGATCAAGGTGTCATCAGGGTTGGGTTCCAATGAGCCCTCTCTTCCCAGCTTGGAGCCGGCCACCTTCCCACCGTGCCCTCCCGTGGCAGAGAAAGCTCAGGCGTCTCCTCCTCTTACAAGGACCCCAGTGCCATCAGATTTGGACCTCACCCTGTGACCTCACTTTCACTTTCACTATCTCCTCCAAGGCCGTATCTCCAAATATAGTCAGAGTGGGGGTTAGGACTTTAGTATATGAACTTTGGAGGGATGTAATTCCATCCATAATGGCGAACCTCAAATTTCATGTCCACGGGGAACCTAGAATGTGAACTAATGTGGAAGCAGGGGGCTTTGCAGTTGTGATCAGTGGAGAAGAGATCATTCTTGGTTAGCGTGGGCCTTAAATCTGATGACTGGTGTCCTTACGAGATGGTCATCATGAGGACGCAGACACACAGGGAGGCAGCTGTGTGAAGACAGAGACCGAGACCGGGGTGATGCAGCCACAAGCCAAGGAACACCTGGCTCTTCCAGAAGCTGGAAGGGGCAGGAAGGGTCCCCCTAGAGCTTCCGGAAGAAGCTGACACCTTGATTTCTGACTTCTGGCCTCCGTATCTGTGAGAGAGTAGACTTCTGTCGTCTGGGTACCTTGTTTCAGCAACCCCAGGACACTGATGCAGAGCCAGTTTTGCTCAGGGCCAGCCCCTGTCCTAAGTGCTTTCTGAGTATTTCATCATTCATCCTCATGAGACTCCTGGGAGACAGAAACTGCATTTTCCTGACTTCACAGATGAGGAGCCAGGAAGGGTTTTCTTGAGAAAAAAGCCAGGTGGGATTCAATTTGTCAAAGCCCAAGATTCCCAGGCAAGAAAGGAACAACACCATCCCCAAGGGAGTCAGGACTCAAGTCCCTGGGCTGGGAGTAAGGATACTGTGCTCTAGTCCCCTCTGGGTCCTCACAAGCTGTGTGACCATGAACTGGTTACAAAACCTCTCTGAGCCGACTCAACCATCCTGCTCAGGTCCCATAGCCAACCTGCTGCAGTGAGATGGGATTTAAAGTAAGTCTGTCCAACTTCAGTGCTCTTGTGCTCCCCATGACCCGTGCTGGTGAGCACGGGCTGTGACTACAGCAGTGAAGACAAGTTTCTGAACCCAGACTGGCCTAGGGTCCAGTCCCATCCCAGCCACTGACCAGCTGTGTAGTTCGAAGCAGGTTATCTCACTTGTGTCTCAGTTTCCTCCATATTAATCACATCTGGATGCACAGCAGAGTTGGAGGACCACTGCTTTGGTGAGGAAGGGGTGAGAGTCTGGTGGGCTATGACTCAGGGGCACTTGCCACTGATGATGTCCAGGACCCCTGTGCCCATCTGCACTCTCGTCAGGCAGGAGTTACTGTCCAGCAGGCTGTCACTTCCTCCCTTGAGCTGGGATTAGAATCTAAAGTCTTGGTCGACTGAGTGCCGCTTTCCTCCTCCTCAAAGCCAGGAGAAAGCAGCCGGTTACTGCTATGAGGAGGAAATACACATACCAGTGCCTGGCCGGTCTCAGCGGATGGCCATGAGTAGAGCATTGTCTATTAATAAAGATCTGTTGACGATGCCTATGTGACCACAGCCTCATCCCCGCAGCAATATCCTTAGGATGCTGTACATTTGGCTTTACCATATCTGGTCTGGCTGCTGGCCCGTTAAAGTCTGGTCAAGGAGGTAAAGACACCCTTGTTTCTAATAAGAGGAGAGGCTGGCGGGTGTGAGCAAGGGGCAGTCCCTGCTGGAGTTCCTTCTTGGGAGGAGGCACTTAGAAATGCCCTGTGTTAGGAGGGATTGGGGGCAAGGTGAAGAGGTGTTGGCAGTTCTGTGCCTCTGTGCAGGTGCCTTTGAAAGAAATGGCCAGAGGCCTGTGCCAGCTTCTCCCCCACAGTCAGTGCAGAGCTATTTCCTATTATTCATGTTGTCGTTTCATATCAGTTCAGTTCAGTCACTCAGTTGTGTCTGACTCTTTTTGACCCCATGGACTGTAGCACACCAGGCCTCCCTGTCCATCACCAGCTCCCGGAGTTTATTCAAACTCATGTCCATTGAGTCTGTGATGCCATCCAACTATCTCATCCTCTGTCGTCCCCTTCTTCTCCCACCTTCAGTCTTTCCCAGCATCAGGGTCTTTTCAACTGTGTCAGCTCTTTGCATCAAGTAGCCAAAGTGTTGGAGCTTGAGCTTCAACACCACTCCTTCCAATGAATATTCAGAACTGATCTCCTTTAGGATGGACTGGTTGGATCTCCTTGCAGTCCAAGGGACTCTCAAGAGTCTTCAACACCACAGCTCAGAAGCATCACTTCTTCGGCGCTCAGTCATTTCACACAGAGCCCTCTGGTTCCATACATGAGTGTGTGCTCAGTAGCTTCAGTCATGTCCGACTCTTTGCAACCCCGTGGACAGTAGCCCGCTGGGCTCCTCTGTCCGTGGGATTCTCCAGGCAAGAATGCTGGAGTGGGCTGCCGTGTCCTCCTCCAGGGGAGATTCCTGAGTCAGAGACTGGATCTGCATCTCTTATATCTCCTGCATTGGCAGGCAGGTTCTTTATCGCTACACCATCTGGGAAGTCCCCTGGTTCCAGATAAATTTGGTTAAGTTTACATCCCTTAAATGTGGAACTCATTGCCTTGAGTATTGGGAACAGCTTTACCTGGTATTTCCAAAAGAACGAGGTTGAAATCCTCTGGTGTAATGGAAGGAAGCCGATTGGAAGACTGGAATGCTGGCGAGGACATTCCTGGGTGCGCGACCTTCAACGAGGAGAGCCTTAACCTCTCGGAGCCCTTTTCTTTATCTGGGAGATGGAGACAGAAAGCCTGTTGGCCTTTGTGGCAGCGCAGAGTGCAGGGGGCAGGGCTGAAGGCCTGCACGTGGCTGGTGCTCAGTTAAAGTCTCCCCTTCTGCTCAATCACTGAGCGTGTTGAGCAGGAGGCCTTGAGCCCAGGGATGGTAAGCATGACTCTGGATCCAGGGTGAGAGTGTGGCTTCCTCACCAACCAGCTGTAAGCTTGAGAGCTTGTTAGTTCATTTGGTCAGTGAATATGATCAAGTAATGTTTTGTGCAACCTACGGTCTCAGCACTGGAGCCTCAACAGTGAACCAAAGAAAAAACTTCATTTTTATGAAATTTGGGAGGCACGTGTGGGGTTCCAGCAGGGAGGCTAGTGTGGCAGCCGTGGGGGAGGGGAAAGAGGGATGGACTGAGGTCAGAGCCTCGTCTCATAGGACCTTGCAGTCCATCCGAAGACATTTGCATTGACTTCTTTTATATACATATCTATTTATCTCTTTGGCTCTACCAGCTCTTAGTTACAGCATGCGGGATCTTCGGTCTTTCTTGTGGCATCATGGATCATGAGTTGCGGCATGTGGAATGTAGTTCTCTGACCAGGGGTCAAACCCACTCCCCCTGCATTGGAAGCTCATTATCTTAGCACCACCAGGAAAGGCCCTGCATTGACTTCTGAGTAAGAAGGGAAGTTTCAGGTGTGTTTTGAGTAGGGAAGTGACTTGCCTCGTGTTTCTGAAGGATCCTCTGATTTCTGTGTGGAGGATGGACTGTAGGGGGCAAAAGTGGAAGCAGGGATCCCTGGGGAGGCTCTGCAGAGGTCCAGACAAGAGATGCTGGGGGTCTGGGCCTGGATGACGCTGGTGGAGGTGGTGAGAAGGCATGGGATGGGGGTCTGTTTTGATGGTCAACATCTGGGTCTCCTCTTCAAGTGGGGATAATAAATTTTCTTCCTATGGCTATTCAGAAGTTTGAATAAGTTCACATGTGCAAAGCATATAAAAAGAAATGTGTGTGGCACATAGTGAGCACTTAAAAATCTGTTTTCATGAGCCTGGTTATTATCACTCATCGTC